CGTCCTGACCTTTTAAGGTAAAGTTTTTCCTTGCTCAAAAGCCATTTGAATCTTACTCCAGGGGGTGGTGCTCATCTCCGTTTCCAAGCTGAAGAGCCAGCATTGTCAGAAGACGTTTCCGTGGTCATGTGGCCAGCATGACTAAATGTCAAGGCACACAGAACGCTGTTACCTTCCCACCAAAGCCATATCCATTTATCTACTTGTAGGCTTGCCAAGTCCCCCCAGGGGGCGGGAAAAACCCCGCCCCAGAGGCCCGTTATCCGCCGGCAGTGGATCGGGCTCCAGGGGGAACCCCACCCCCAAAGCACGCGACATGCACATCACCCAGAGGTGACGCGATCGCGTCAGGCGCGTTGGGGGTGGGTCCACAGTCATCCGAGGGAAAACTCTATGTTTTCCCCTTGGATGGTCGTGGCCCCGCCCCCAGCGTGCCCAGCGTGGTTGCGTCACTTCCAGGTGATGTGGTTGCGGCGCATATGCGCAAAGCGCGCGCACACTCCCAGAACGGCGCTGGAATGTTCAGATAAGATTATTTATGTCCCTTTTCTCCCCCCCCCCTTATGGTTCTTTAAAGAGTTTTATATCCAGTACTTTTGCTACCTGATTACGTGCAGGAGAGGGGGATAGGAATTTCTCCTCCCCCTTCCTCGTTGTCGTGTATGCAAAGGGGGTTTGATCAAAGGGTCTTTTGCTTCTTTGATGTTGCTTTATAGTACTCATTGTTTCTTCATCAGTGCTGGAGATGAGGTATGGTGCTCTCTTAGCCGGCATTCACCACTAATCAGTCATGGCGGACCGTGACTGTGCTGATTTGCGCTCTTGCTTCAAGACGATCTGGCTCCTACCCGCTCGCTGCTGCTTGCGGGGGGCTCAGATCAAGTCTCCTGCTCCAGACCTCTCTCTTACCTGTGTGCCATGTGTTCAGGGACGGCCTGAGGTTTTTTTGTGCCCTAGGTAGGGCTACCTTCTGGCACCCCCCCCCGCACGCCCACCAATTACGGGGTTGACAACCTCTGGGGGGAGGCTGGAGAGAAGGAACGCACGCCACACCTTGGCTGCTTCCCTTTGGGGTGCGTGGGCCCCTTCTTCTCTCCCCCTTGAGCTGCAGGAGGGCATGGAGGTACTTGCCGATGGCTCTGGTACCAGGAGGTCATGGTCCAGGCAAGGCTGAGGGGCCTCCCTCCAGTCCCTGGAGGGGGTGAGGGAGGAGCCCAACTCTCAGGCAACATGGGGGGGGGGGTTGGCTGCTTCCCTGGTGCCTCTCACAGGAATGAGGCAAGGAGCGCCGGAGGGAGGGGGAGAAGACTACGGTCACCCCCCCATCCGAACCCCCCCTGTCCTTGTGGAAGAGCAGCTGGGCAGTGGGAGGCTCCCCTCCCCTCACCACCGTGCCTCATCTTCCTCACAAGCCCACCCCCCAGAGAGCTGGGCCCACTCAGCGAGCCAAGCCGCGGAAGAGCAGTCAGCGGCATGGCGAGCAGAGAAGCCAGCTTTCGCGCATGGCGACCCAAGCTAGTTTAAAGAGCCACACTTCTTCGTGACCGGGGAAGATTTTGGTGCTGGGCGCGGGGCAGTCTGGAGGGGCGACGGAAACTCCCTGGTCTCCCTGCACCCGGGGCACTCCTCTCCACCCAGCTAGCTGGCTCCTGGTTGCATCTCCTGCTGCCTCTGCGCCTCTGCCTGGCTTGCCTCCTGCCACCACGACCAGCAGCAGGGCGAATCAAAAGCGAGCGGCGAGGCAGCGGTGGGGCTAGTCGGATGGTGGAGAGCGGCGGCAGCTGCTGGAGGCAAGCCAAGCAGCCGGGCGCCCCTGGGCAGGTAGCGGCGGAGGCAACTTTGGCACGCTGGTTCCCCGCCTCGGTGCTCCCTCCGCACTTGGCCCTTCACTCCGCCTCACCCTGCACCTCCTCAGCCGCCGTGCCCTCCACCAGCTTGCCCAGCAGTGCTGGCAGTGGCACCAGCAGCCAGAGGAGCAGAGCAGCAATGGCACATGGGCTTTTGGCGCCTCCCCTGCGCAGTTCGGCACCCCATCCAGGTCCCACCGCCCCATCCAGCGGTCTGGACCCAGCGGTCTAGGCGAATGCCTAGTTCGCCTAGTCGGTGAGCCAGCCCTGCATGTGTTGCCTATTTCTACATACGAAGCCTCTGTTAAGCACCCCCCCACACGGTTAGGACCCATAAGTGGGGGTTATCTGGTCCAGCAGCCCCCTAGGTTCTGGGTCCAGCCATTGCAAACACCCTGAAGGATATGAAAGAAGAAAAGGAAGAAGACATAGATGGAAAAGGCGATATTTTGTCTTATAAATTTGATGGAGTTGGAAAGCCCTCCCCATTACACAAAATGCTAGCATATCACTAACCTGGAGAAGCTCTGAAGGAAAACAATGGACTTCTGGTATTGTAAGATGATCCTTTCATCTGCTAAAGCAACCCTACAAATCATAAGCAGGGAAATGCCCTCGATTCACAGTGAGGTGTATCACTAGCCATACTCTGGAACCTCCATGCCCCTCCCCTTACTGATTGGTAAACTCAGGGCTTACCATGACTATTCTTTAATGAGAAAGAGACTCTACGGAACAGAGTCAATCTTAACCTTCTTCTCTTTGATCTTAAATGCTACCCATTCTGGAAACTGCCATTTGTATCCAATTGAATTTGTTTGGAGGAAGAGCACAAGTTCTTTGTATTTCTTTCTCCATTGCCTTACTTCAAATAGAATATCCTTTAGCGTTCTGACCGCATTCTCCCCTACCTTCAGGGGTGTCACAGCCACTGCTTTCAGGATAGCATCCCTGATGTGCCTCTTCAAGAATCTTACTACCATTTCCCCAGGCAGATTATTTTTCTTTATATATCCTGAATATGACCTGTAGGCCACATCCATGTCGTTGAGTAACAATTCCGCCTTTATATCTGTTGCTGGGGCGAGTAGCTCACGCATCAGTTCTTTAAGATTCTCTCCTCTATTCTCTGGCACCCCTTGGAAGCACAGGACCATGTTGGCCTTATCCATTTGCACTTGCAGCATCTGATCTTCCAAAGAAACAGTTTTCTTTTCCAATTTTTGCACTTTCTTCCTCACTTTCTGCGTTGTCTCAGCCATTTCCTTTACTTTCTCCGCATCCTGCTTCATTACTTGGATCAAGTCCGTTATTTGCGTTTGTTGAGCAGTGATGCTTGTTGTTACAACTGCAAGCTGCTTTTACTGCACTGTTATATTCGCTGTTACCACCGACATCTGCTCTTTAAAGACATTGAGCTGTTCCAGTAGAGGGCACATGACCTCAGCCATCGCCTTGGTCTCCTCACTGGTCGTTTCCGGTCTCGGGGACTCTGGTTTCATTTTTAAAAGTTTCTCTTTGTCTCTGTCCCTCTTCCCCGCCATCTTTTCCCTGTTTGTTTACTTTCACGAAAATTTTTTAAAGCCTCTGAATATGCGCTTAACTGTATAGCTCGATTGGGTGAGTACTTCTGGGCAATCACACGTTTATTCTTCTGCTCCCACCTCCCTTTCGCTCAGTGATTTACGCATGGGAGGCATCCCTCCCCCGCTCGCTTCTGCCGTTCCACCGCATCGGGTAGGGAGCGTCTTTTCTTTTAAAAATCTTATCTCAGTTGACTCACGTTCATAGTTGGTCTTCCGACCCCGCTACATTCATCATTTCTGACGCCCCATCTCCTACGCTTGACCCGGCTAGCTTCACTTGTACCGTTTGGTCTCTCGGCTGGACGAACCACTGGAGCAAGGGGGAGCCTCAATTCTCTGGCATTCAGCCATCGAAGAGGCTACCCCCTCAAAGCTCCTTGGCCAGGGACCCTTCGCCAGGCCCCTGGGGGGGTTAACGAGCCTGCTCACCCCCTCCCTCCGCCAGAGCACGGAGACACCCCCGGGAGGTCCAAGAGGTGAGTCCGTGAGCATGCCGCCATCAACCGGAAGTCTCCTGATCTTTAGACTCTTAATGAGCTCTGGCTCAGACATTTATTTATTAAGGCATTTCTATACTGCTTCACATGATAAGTACATGAAGCTGCTGTATACTGAATCAGACCATAGGTCCATCTGAGTTAGTCTAGTCTACTCAGACAGGCAACAGCTCTACGGACTTTCAAGCAAAATCTTTCACCTGTCACCTAATCCTTAACTGCTGATGTCAGGGACTGAACCCTGGGACCTTCTGCATGCCAAGTAGATGCTCTCCCACTGGCTTCTCTCCTGAAATAACTAAAGAGGCTTACAATACAATACAGCTACAATATAATTTCAATAATCAAAATAAAAACAAATAATCCTGAGTTGTTGCCTGGTTGTCGTGGGCAAATTCTACTTACTGTCCAAAGCCCTCATTAGGTGTGAAAGAAGCCATCTAGTTAAAATGTAGCTTCTTTTTTTAAAAAAAATATAAAAACTGATGTTAAAAAAACAAACAGCAGTCATGTTGTGAATATATCTGCCATACCCCCCAGCATTTCACAGATGGAAACAGGGACCCTCTTGTGTACTTTCCAGACCTCTCTTCTCACAGCAAGAATAACTACACGGGCACCCCTGTCAAAATCACACTGCTGGAGGCTCTTTTCCACCGGCTGGATGCCATTCCAGTATGCCCTGCAACAGAGTGTCCTGTACTGATCTGAAAGCACAGGCAGTTTTCTCCTGGTTAAAAAAACCCGGGGGGGGGGGGGGGGGGGGGGGAGGGGATACCAATGTTGCCCTATATCATGTCTCTCAGCAACTGAAAATGAACCCGGCCTGGGAATCGACAGGTTCTACTCATGTACACGAGAAATGAGAGCTAAATCTCCTTTTACTCAGATATTGATTTCCTAGAAACCCTCGGGGGATAGGAATGAAGTCTGAAGAAATGCAACACCAGTGCCCAATGCTAATGAGATTTTGTTTAAAACACGTACTCCAGATCTCCAGCAAATGGGCCAAATAGGAGCAGTGATTCTAACATGGGCGTTACCACAAAAGTGGAGCTACCACAAAACAGGAAGCTGTGGCTTAGTGGTATAGCATCTGCTTTCCATGCAGAAGGTCCCGGGTTCAATCCCTGGCATCTCCACCGAAAGGCATCTGGCAGTAGGTGATGTGAAAGCCCTCTGCCTGAGATCATGGAGAGCCACTGCCAGTCTAATACTGACTGTGATGGGCCAAATGATCTGATTCAGTATGAGGGAGCTTTGTGTATATGTATGTACGATTGATAAACAAGGATAGTTAGAGTATAGTATATGCCAAGCTGTTTTTTGTCAAATCAGTACACATGAAGCTGCCTTATACTTAATCAGACCACTGATCTATCAAACGTTTTGACTCAGATAGGCAGCAGCTCTCCACAGTTTCAGGCAGAGGACTTTCATATCACCTACCACCTAATCCTTAACTGGAGATGCCATGGATTGAAGCTGGGACCTTCTGCATGCCAAGCAGATGCTCTAGCACTGAGCCATGGTTACCTACTTTAAATCTTCCACCCAAAAAATAAACCCTGACTGGGGATCAGCCCAAACCACCAGCTATCTAGCAAGCTGTTAAGAAGAATTCCTTGGCCAATTTGCAATTGCTGGGCTAGAATGATCTTTTTGAGTTACATTTCCAGGCCTGGATTAATGCCTCGATTTTTTAAAAAGAGTGAACCTGTAGAGTCAGTGCGCCCCTTTTAAGGCACAGAAGTTTGTCTAACTGTTCATCGATAAAAATTGGAGAACATCACAACGGGGTGGGGGGGGAGGCAAATAATCATGAAAACACAAAGGGCTGTAAATGCAGACAGTACCAGTAATTTGCTGTTCTCCTAACCCCTCCAGTCCTAACAGTTTTTTTCTTGTCCCCCCCCCCTCTTTCCTCTTCTCCAGCTTCTCTGAACTGCATCAAGTCCCTCCAGCAGCATACAGCCAGGAGATCCGACCTAACAAACTGTGTAGCATCAGAAGAGATCGGTTTTCCAGACAACACAGCATGGAGAAAGTTACAGGTGGCTCACGCTGCCTGCAGGGCAGGGCAGGAGGGTCCACCACAAGCTCCTCATTTAGTTGGAAGAAAGCAGCCCCTGATCTGCCCAGAGAAGAAGTCAAATCTCCCCTAGGCAAGGTCTCTGCAATAACACAGATGATAGAGAAAGGAGCCCCCAGGGCCAGCAGTCCCTCCAGAGTGTCTGTTCTGCTTGAGGCCTGGGAGAAGGGGCTAGTTGGAATGGAACCTGCTCCACAACCTTCCTCTGCAGCTACCCGGCGCTCCCGTTCCCCAGTACACACCAGACATCACCTTTCGTCCAAAGAAACTTCCCGGTCTCTTTCACCTTCAAATACCAAAAGTTCCTTTTCTCTTGCAGATTCCAGGCGATCCCTTTCTCCAGCAGATATAAGACAGTCTCCTTCACAAGCGGATAGCAAACAATCCTTTTCTCCAGCAGATACGAAGCAGTGTCGTTCTCCAGCCGGTCCAAGGCAGTCTCCTTCACAAACCGATACCAAGCAACCCTTTTCTTCAGCAAATTCAAAGCCGTCCCATTCGCCAACAGGTACGAGGCAATCCCCTTCACCAGCAGACGCCAAGCGATTCTTTTCTCTTGGAGAGACCAAGCAATCCCTTTTGCCAGCAGATACAAGACAGTCTCCTTCGCCAGCAGATGCCAAGCGATTCTTTTCTCTTGCAGATGCCAAGCGATGCCTTTCTCCAACAGATGCGAAGCAATTGCCTTCACCTGTGAATACCAAGCGATCCTTTTCTCCAGCAGATACCAGGGAGTCCTATACTTCAGCTGACATGAGGCAATCTCCTTCACCAGTAGAAATGAGACAATCTCTTTCTCCATTAGATACCAGACGGTCCCATTCTCCATCTGGAAACAGGCAGTTACATCCTGCAGCAGATACCAGGGAGTCCTATACTTCAGCTGATATGAGGCAATCTCCTTCACCAGTAGAAATGAGACAATCTCTTTCTCCATTAGATACCAGACGGTCTCATTCTCCATCTGGAACCAGGCAGTCACATTCTGCAGCAGATACCAGGCGGTCCTGTTCCCCTACAGACTCCAGGCATTCTGTTTCTCCAGCAGAAACCAGGCAGTCATGTTTTGTGCCATATACCAGAAGCCCATCTCCCTCAGCAAGTGCCCAGCACTCCTCTTCTCCAGTAGATAAACAGTGTTCATCTTCCCCAGCAGATAAACAATTTTCTTCTTTACCAGATATCAGGCAGGCAGTTTCCTCATCGGGTGCCAGGCACTCATCTTCTGTGAAGGAAATCAAGCAGCGATTTTGCCCAACAGACTCCAGGCAGCCATCTTCCCCAGTTGATGTTAGGTCTTCTTCTTCTTCCCCAGAGTCAAGAAGCTTCTCTCCCACATCAGATGGGAGGCGTTCACGCTCTCTCAGTCCACGCAGAGAGTTTACAGCTCACGGGCCTGTGTTCTCACAAGTATATTTCCCAGGTTCAAAGCCAAATAACCTAGAAGAAACAGAGGTGCAAGACACTAGTAGCACTAGAATAGTCAGATCCCAAGGAGATAACCACTCTTGTGATGCTGCTAATGTCACTACAGCTGCTGGATTTCCAAAAGAAAACCACACATCAAACACAATTGGATCCCAGAAAGACAATCTCCCCACTTCTGTCAGTGCCAGAGTGGCCCAATTCCAGAATGAAAGTTGTGGGCCAAACACGCCTACTTCCAGTTCAGTCAATGGATCCCCAAAGGGAAGCCACATGACCCGTACTACCATAGTTAAATCGCAAACAGAAAGCTACCTGTCAAGAGCTGCTAACGCTACTCTGTGCACCAAACCTTCCGGTGGATCCCCTGTGATGAATTCCGTGTCCCGCTTTCTTGGCTCCAGTAGTGTATCCGAATCCCAAACCCAGTGGTACAACTCAAAAGGTGGTAGCACGGTTGTCTTTAGATCTGAACGGCAAGTCATCGTGCCCAAAGGTGAAAGTGGAACTATGTACAGAGCAGGTCAAGAAGTTATTGTGTCCAGTTCTGGGCCAGGGAGGGTAAGTAAATCCCAGCAACAGAAGGGCCTTATGCCAAACACTGCTGACAACGTGGCACCAAAAGAAAACCATCACCAGCCACAGGATGACCTCACCGATGCCAGGTCCCCTAAAATAAGCCTCACATCCATCGCTGGTGTTTGCAACAGCTCCCCAGCAGAGCCACAACCACAAAGTTGCATGACTCAACCCAGATGTACCGGTGTGAACGCTGCCCAAAGGCAAAGGTGTATGCTTGAACCGAGCCCTGCAATCTCATCAAACAGTGATGCTACCACATGTGAGGAGGGAGCAGTTCATTTTAGCACACCCCAAAGTGACTGCAGCATACACAACAAAGCTGTATTTCAAAAGCACAGCAGCTTAGATGCAGCAAGCAAATCCGAGAAGGTAGGAAGTATGCCTGATTCAGGGGGCCCTAAAGCAAGAGGATCAAATAAGGAGAGTCATCTGTCAAGAGGAGAGAAGGTTACTGCTTCTGGATTCAAAATAACTTGGCGCACATCTGGTGTTGGAGGAACTGCAGGAGAAAGCAGCATGCCAGTAGCCTTACTAGGATCTCAGGAAACTGCTCCAGAGGATCAGAAAGTCACCACCCAGACTGAGCTGAAGAAAGAATGGAGTGATCCATCCAAGGAGGCCCTTGTCTTTGCAGAAGAAAATCTTATGGAGACAGACTCTTCCCATGACCCCCTGAACCAGGAAACAGGAAGGAACGACACAAGAACAGAAGAGGAACCCGAGGAATCTGTTGACATGGAACTTTTTGTGGACACTCTACGCAACATGGAGCCTCTTGAACTCTGCAAGCCATTGAAGATTCACCTGAGGCCACCACGGCCTTCCACACTCGCCAAGCAGGCTGCCTTGCCACCGATCCATGAGTACCGTGTCACTCCCAAGTCCAAAGTTCCTCTCCCAGCTGCTCTTGGCGAGCTCTTTGCCCTCACTGAAGAGAGGAACTCAGAGATAGAGAAGGAATCCAAGAAGTTAGACAATGGATTTGCAGAAGAGATTGAGGAGGTAGAGAATCCATATCTTACTGAGGATGAGAAGTCACAGGCCAAGAAAGCCTACCCATGGGAAAACAAGCCATACAAGACTGAGGAAGAGATAGGCGCATTCTTGGGAAAGCTGCAGCAAGCCTCTGTGGAGTACAAAGTCATAGCTCCTAAAGCAACGGTGAATCAGACCAATCTGATCAGGGCCAACATTCTCAAAGGGGCCTCACTTTTGTGTGGTTTTGTGGACAAGAAGGCTATGGAAGATAAGCCTTATTCCCGCTTGGACAACAGCTTCCTTTACAGCAAGTTCATCACCCCTGAGAAGTCCCAATTCAAAGCCCCGGAGAACGGGAAGGATGGGACCAGCTCACCTATGCTGCCGATGGTTCTAAAGGTCAACCGGGAATGCCAGACGCCTCCAAATGGGCCACAAGTTGGCACAAATGAACATCTGAGCTCTGAGTCATCACTGGCTGGGTTCCAAGTTCACTCTTCCTCCAGGACTCCATCTGCAAAGATTGGTTCCAGTCAGATTCGTCTCCTTTCCAAGGAGGGACATTTTCTTCCCCAGACACCATCCTGCTTGGAAATTCAGGTGAGTAAATCCATTACAAATGAAAGTATAAAAGCTTTGGGGGAAATAGACAAGTGAGGTTCTCCACTATTATCTTTCACTGCTGACAGTTGCAGTCATTTTCCCACTAGTGAAAGACCTTCTCTGGATTGCTCAGGCCCATTTGGGCTACTTGAGGCTAATTCCAGGAGGGTAGCCAGACAAGTGTTGTTGTTGTTGTTGTTGTTCAGTTGCACAGTCGAGTCCGACTCTTCGCAACCCCATGGACCAGATCACGCGAGGCAGGGCTCTTTTTGTAGAAAAAGCCCAGCAGGAACTCATTAGCATAATAGGCCACACCCAACAGCAGGAACTCATTAGCATATTGGGCCACATCCCTGACAGCACAGCTCATTAGCACATTAGGCTGCACCCACATGTTACCAGAAGTGTGGTTATCCAGCCACACCCACCTTTTGCTTGTTATTCTGTTTACCTTGTTTGTTGTCAAAACCCAGGGCCTTTTTTTGTAGCAGGAACTCCTTTGCATGTTAGGCCACACACCCCTAATGTAGCCAATCCTAATGAGTTTCTGCTCTTGGGTATGGCCTATTATGCTAATGAATTCCTGCTGGGCGTGGCCAACTTGGGAGCCAGCCAGAACTCCGTTCCTGTGCGTTCCTGCCCAAAAATAGCCCTGACGCCAGGTATCATAGTACGCTTTCAGCCTGCGGGAGAACTGGTGATACAGCATCATATTGGCACTAATAGAACTGACGAAATCTTCGGGGCAACTGGTTGGCCACTGTGTGGGGCAGGATGCTTGACTAGATGGATCATTAGTCTGATCCAACAGGGCTCTTCTTATGTTCTTATGTTCAATTCAAGAGGATTGGGATTACAGGATCCAAACCACTGAGGTCTTTACTCAGGTGTATAGATCCTCCTTGAAGTCACAGAGTGTTGCACCCAAGCAAAGGGTGCAGGAACTTAAACGTCATTATTCTGTTATTGTTTATCTTCTTTACTGGTTGCTACTGAGTCAGTGATGCTCATTAAAGAAGCTGAGCCAGGGGATGATGGGAAACCAAGAAGTGTTGTAAGGACAGGAATATCTGAAGAAAGCCCACATATAGACTGACTGATCAGTTGCTCCATGACACACATAAATCATGATGCTTTCAAATGTGGGTACCTACCTGTGTCACCAGTGTGCTACTCTCATTTAATGTTTTATTGTAGATGGGCAATGTAAATTAAAACAGAAAAGGCCATTCCTAGATCTGTTTATGCTGAAAAGTACCTGCCACTACTGTGTTTTTTTTTAAAAAAATACCAGACCTTTGTAACATTACCAACCTGCATCAACTCAAAATCAGTCTTATCAGTAATATTTTCAAGGCAATGCTATAATAATACTTTGCTTTAGTATCTGAATTGCTGTATTATAGAAGACTGGCTTCAAGCTTACAAAGTAATAGATATTGAAAGAAAAGGACCTTGTTTGTAATGTGTTGGAATAACAAATACTAGGGTAATGGTCAGCCCTATGTTATTATTGCAATGGCTGTGGTTCCACTAGAATAACACAGTGCAAGCCTGGGCTTGATCCATTGGCTGCTCACAGCTCACCAGCTGGAAGACCAATGCAAATTAATTTTATTCATGCATTGATTTGTTTCATGTATACTCACCTTTCTCCCAATGGGAGCCCAACGTGGCTTGCATTGTTCTCCTCTACTCCATTTTATCCACATGACAACACTTTGAGATAGGTTAGGCTAAGAGCATTTCACTGGCTAAAGTCATCCAGCAAGCTCTCACAGGTCCCTGCCACACGGCAGGGAAAAGGATGGCTGAACTGCGGCTAATCAGAGCCGCACCAAAGTTGAGACGCCGCGGCGGGATCCCACGGATCCCCTGAACCGCGGCGCATCGCTCCCAGGCACGATCAGATGCCGGGGAGGAAGAGTCGGATGGGAGGAGGAGGCTGCCGAACTGCGCATGCGCAGTACGGCCGGGGGCCGGGATGTGCCGGCACAAGGCCGGCCGGCCGATCCCATGTCCCGGCTTGAGGCGCTGTACTGGATACAACCACCTAGGTAGGTGGTTCTTTTTTAGTGCGCGTTATCGGCGGTTGGGACGGAACAGGAACGGGCAGGCAACGATTCCCAGATGTTGCCGTGGGATCGCACCCGTTTGCTCTGCCCCCGTTCCGTCCCCCTCCCGGCCCAAACCGCCTCGTATGAACAGGGCCACAGCAGAGTGGGGATTTGAACCTCTGTCTCTCAGATCCTAGCCCGACACTTTAACTATTATATTATTTATTTATTTGTTGGATTTCTATACCGCCCTCCCAAAGGCTCAGGGCGGTTCACAGGCGGCAAAGCCGGAATCTAAAATACAATAAAACATACAATAAAATACAGTATTTAACCCCAAAAACCATCCTATAACACAGTGCTATATCATTCAACCAAGATGGGACTAACCATCCAGCTTTGGTGGCCAGCTATCTCAGTAGCGTCCCGCTATGCTGTCTATGACTTCTGCCTGGGCATACCTGCCCCACGTTCGTAGGGCAGCCGATGACATACTACCTCGGTACTATGCAACACTCGGTACTATGCAACGACTCATAACTCGGTACTATGCAACTACTATGCATAGTACACTCGGTACTATGCAACTACTATGCAACACTCATAACTTTTTGTTTCATTTTGTTCAGTGGGGCTTACTCCTAGGAAAATGTTCTTAAGGTTGCATCCTATGGCTCTTGGGTCTTCAGTGGTGAAACTTTTGATCACCAAATGCCTCTGATATGAAAAATTGTATGTCTGATCCCATCTTAGGACCAAACCACATATTGCGCTGGGAAGTATTATATTTCTGTTTTTCTCCTCAGTGGGTCCCAAAGCGGCTTTCATCATTCTCCTCTCTTCCATTGCATCCTCACAACAACCATCTTGTGAGATAGATTAGGCTGAGGGTGTGTGCCTGGCCCAAGGCCATCCAGTGAGTTTCCATTACATAAGAACATAAGAGATGCCAATGTTGGATCAGGCCAAAGGCCCATCCAGTCCAACACTCTGTATCCCACAGTGGCCAGAAATACCAGTGCCATCAGGAGGTCCACCAGTGGGGCCAGGACATTTGAAGCCCTCCCACTGTTGACCCCCCCCCCCAAGCACCAAGATGACAGAGCATCACTTGCCCCAGAGTCCCTATCTATACCTTGTGGCTAATAGCCACTGATGGACCTCTGCTCCATATGCTTATCTAATTCCCTTTTGAAGCCTTCCATGCTTGTAGCTGCCACCACTTCCTGTGGCAGTGAATTCCAAGTGTTAATCACTCTTTGGGTGAAGAAGTACTTCCGTTTATTCGTTCTAACACGACCGCTCAGCAATTTCATGGAGTGCCCACGAGTTCTTGTATTGTGAGAAAGGGAGAAAAGTACCTCTTTCTCTACCTGCTCTTTCCCATGCATAATCTTATAAACCTCAATCATGTCACCCCTCAGTCGTCCCTTTTTAAAGATGGGAGTGACATTAGCTACCTTCCAGTCCTCAGGAATGGAGGCTGATTTTAAGGAGAGATTACATATTTTTGTCAGGAGATCCACAAGTTCACAATTGAGTTCTTTCAGAACTCTTGGATGTATGCCATCTGGGCCTGGTGATTTATCAGTTTTTAAGTTGTTTATCAGTTTTAGGACCTCCTCTCTCGTCACCTCAATCTGACTCAGGTCTTTCAACACCCCTCCCGAACTCAGCGGCTCTGGAGTGGGCAAGCACCTCTCATCTTCCACAGTGAAGACGGAGGCAAAAAATGCATTTAGCTTCTCAGCCATTTCCCTATCATCCTTCAGTACTCCTTTTACCCCTTGGTCATCCAAGGGCCCCACTGCCTCCCTGGCTGGTTTCCTGTTTCTAATGTATTTGAAGAAAGTTTTATTGTTGGTCTTTACATTTTTTGCTATATGCTCCTCATATTCCCTTTTTGCATGCCTGACCACAGACTTGCATTTTATTTGCCATAGCCTGTGTTCTGTTTTATCAGCCTCACTGTGACTAGCTTTCCACCGCTTAAAGGAATCCTTTTTACCTTTTACAGCTTCCATTACTTTGTTTGTTAACCATGTAGGCTTTTTCTTATACCTGTTTGTGCCTTTCCTAACCTGCGGAATATATTTTATTTGAGCTTCTAGAATTGTAGTTTTAAACAGTTTCCAAGCTTCCCCAATGGTTTTGACCCTTTCTACTTTTCCCTTCAGTTTCCTCCCCACATGTCCCCTCATATCAGAAAAATTACCCCTTTTAAAGTTAAAAGTGGTTGTGTGAGTCTTTTTGGCCAATTCCCTATTTGTACAAATGTTGAACTCAACAACATTATGATCACTGTTCCCAAGCGGTGCAATCACTTTTACATCTCTCACCAGGTCTTGAGTGTTACTTAGGACCAAATCAAGGATCGCCTCTCCCCTGGTAGGTTCCATGACCATCTGCTCCATAGCACAGTCATTTAGAGTGTCTAGAAACTCAATCTCTTTCTCTCGACTAGAACACATATTGACCCAATCAATGTGTGGGTAGTTAAAATCACCTATTACGACACAGTGTTTTTGTCTAGCTGCTATCTTTAATTCATTCATCATTTTATAATCCTCCTCTATCTTTTGATCCGGTGGGCGATAACAAACTCCCAGTGTTAAGTTTCCTTTTGGCCCCCCTATTTCAACCCACAGAACTTCAAGAAGCGAATCCAATTCTCTTAGCCTCTCAATCTTTCTGGACTTTATACCCTCTCTGACATACAGAGCCACCCCACCTCCAACCCTTCCCCCCCTATCCTTCCGATATAATATATAACCGGGAATCACCGTATCCCACTGATTTTCCTCATCCCACCAAGTTTCTGAAATACCCACAATGTCTATTTTTCCCTCTGACACCAAGCACTCCAACTCCCCGATTTTACCTCGGACACTTCGAGCATTTGTATAGAAACAGCTGTAATTTCCCATACTAGTTAAGCCTGCCACCTTCCTCTTGCTATCTCGAGACCTTGTCAGGCAGTCCATGTCACTAGCCATGGTCTCAGTGGACAATTTCAATCCACCTCCCTGTAGAAAAGCAACAGGTACCCCCTCATCTCTCTGAGATGAGCCAACCCGAACCAGAGACTTTTCATCTCCTGTCGGCTTTCCCCCAATATTCAGTTTAAAAACTGCTCTGCCACCTTTTTGATTTTAAGTGCCAGCAGCCTGGTTCCTTCTCGGGACAAGTGGAGACCGTCTCGCCTGTACAGCTCCCTCTTGTTCCAAAAAGAATCCCAGTGCCTAACAAACCTGAACCCTTCTCCCCTACACCATCGTCTCATCCACGCATTGGAGAATAGAGATTAAAACCTGGGTCACCCATATTCAAGTTCAGCCCACTAACCACCACACCACACTTGCTATCTATGTTAAATCAATGGGGTACAGCTGCTTCTGGTTGTCAGTTCTGAGCTGTTGTCAAGGGAGGGGAGAGTTTTCCTAATCCCTCTGCCCATGGCATTTTCCAATCAAAATCCCATCCCACACAAATTGGAAAAGCTACTAGGGCCCTGATCACACGATCGAGATAATCGGGGGGGGGGGGGAGGCTTTTTGCCCGGAGCAAAATGAAGTGCGGTAGCTCGATCAGATGTTCCTCTGAGGCTCTGTGCTCAGGCTGTCAGCCGCCGATCACACGTTGATGGTGAAGTATGGCAAAGAAAGGGGGGAAGAAAGAAGTTGCATGGTGCGATCACACATGCAGCGATCGCAAGCTGCCACTTCCCAATCGTACAGGCGGGTTTTTTTTCAAACTGGAGTTCCCGCATGTGCATGACCACGGAAGCAAATTTGACACCCTTGCCAAATGAGCATTCCCAAGACTCCTTGGGGGCAGCCATTAGGGTGGTCTGCTTGTGGCAGGTAACCGGTGGGAATTCAGTGAGGACAGGGACTTACCTTTTTGGTATCACTCGACATGATGTTATCACTTTCAACATGACCTGGAACTGATATCATCATGTCAGGGCAATGCTCTAGCATTTGCCCCAAGGTCTATGGTGATTCCCCACTCAGTTTCCTGGGTCACCATGTTCCCCACATACCCTACTTTGAGCTCCTTGGAGGAAGATTAGAATAGAAAAGTACCCAAAACAAAAATCAGATGTAGTTTAACTATACCCACAGACAGGGCTCTTTTTGTAGAAAAAGTTGGCAGGAACCTATTAGCATAATAGGCCACACCCAACAGCAGGAACTCATTAGCATATTGGGCCACACCCCTGACAGCACAGCTCATTAGCACATTAGGCCGCACCCACATGTTACCAGAAGTGTGGTTATCCAGCCACACCCACCTTTTGCTTGTTATTCTGTTTACCTTGTTTGTTGTCAAAACCCGGGGCCTTTTTTGTAGCAGGAACTCCTTTGCATGTTAGGCCAGACACCCCTAATGTAGCCAATCCTAATGAGTTTCTACTGTTGGGTGTGGCCTATTATGCTAATGAGTTCCTGCTGGGCGTGGCCAACTTGGGAGCCAGCCGGAACTCAGTTCCTGTGCGTTCCTGCCCAAAAATAGCCCTGCCCACAGAGACCAGGTGACATCCATATAATTTTCTTCAAGGATTAGATTACCCATCCCTTCCTTGTGCCCGCAACAGAATGAGATGGTCACTAGGGGGCAAAGGGCTGAAGTGGTAGAATGGACTGCTCTACTTCATATTGCAGGGGAGGGTTTCCATGTAATAAGTCCCTGTAAGTGGAACACCAGCACAGCATGCAAAGACTAAGATGGAACTTTATGCCCTTTGTTGTTGTTGTTGTTCAGGGAGTTTTTACATGGAGGAGTGTTAAGACTATGCCCCTTTCCCCTGTAGTTTGACGTGGTACAGCCCATGCTACCACCCCAGAATTCCTTTGCCTCATTTTGCTGGCAGGAAAAGAAAGAAGGAGAATAGTGCAATGCATCTTCTTTCTCCTTTTTCTCCTGCTTCTGCTGCAATAGGAAAAGGAGCAGGAAAACTCAGCTGCATCTGACAGTCAAATGTTTTGTAGGTGGCTGAGGACCAGGGATGAATCCTATGGGAAGAGGAGCACGTGGGGGTGAGGCATTTCTCACTAGGAACTCAAACAGTTCTGGTGATCTCACATGGTTTTAATTTATTTTTAAATTATAGCCAAAGGAGGACAGAGTTCTGAAGATTAACGTGCGACCTGGGAAGGTATGTTTGCAAAGAGCAAGGTTGGTGTGTGTGCGTGTGTGTGTGGGGGGGGTCCTGTAAAGATGTACATTTGTGGAAAAGGGAGGGGTGACACTGCCTTGTTTGATAATTATTCTCCCCACCATTTCTTTTCCACTCTAGATCATCCTGTACTCTCAGGCAGACTTTGGGGGAGAGAAGAGAGAAATCTGGGGTGATATTATAGATGCTACAGCCTGGGACCTTTCCCACACCATCTCTGTCCAAGTTATCCGAGGAGGGTAAGTGAACCAAGGGTGTTGAGTCCAAGAGGAGAGGGCTGAGCACTGTCTAGATGGGAAGAGAGTTATGGGGAAATGCTGTGGCTCAGGGGAAGAGCACGTATTTGGCATGTGAAAGGCCCCAGGATAAAGGATCACAGAAAAGGCCATTCTGTACACGAGACCTTGGAGTGCAGCTGACAATCCGGCTCGATTCACACATTACAAAGTCCTTGTGGCTGCCTTAAGGCATTTCTATCAGACATACACCTGGGGTTCCTTTCTGGGAACTTAATTCCCAGGTATGCACCGGCCCAATTTAGATCAGGACCATGGTGCGCAAGAAGAAGGGGTTTAAACCTTCCCTTCTGTGCCATTTTCCCAATCTCCGTTGGCCAGAGAGCTCCCGTTTGCAGCAGTGAGCAGTTCCCCCAGGACATTTCAAGTTAGAAAATGGGCAAGGAGGAAAGCTTTAAGCCCCTTCTCCCTGTGCATCATGGTTCCAGTCTGAATCAGGCCTGCACATGCCTGGGCACTGAATTCCTAGCATGGAACTCCAGGCGTACATGTGATAGCAAGTCCTTCTGGTAGCCCCAAGAACTTTATAAAGTGTGAATTATAACTGTCTAAGTTCTCAGGCACAGAAAAACCCTCCAAAATACCCATGATCCTTTAATTGCCCTTGACTGGGACCTTCTTCATATCAAGTATGTGCTCTTCCTGCTGGGCCACAGCTTCACCCCATAACCAGGTTTGGGTACCCTTTGACTCCTCTGGAATCCAGGCTCCACAGCTGTGTCAGCTGGTTTTACTGGAGATAAGCAGAATCTGGACAAAGATTGAAAATGAGAACGCAGGGAACAGGAGTCAGAAAGGAGGACTGTACTCTGACAGCCTCCAAAAAGAGGACATCTAGGCAAAATACTGCACATATCTCGAAGCCACAGGTATAAGGACCCTCCCAGGCCATTCACCCTGTCATAATTCCTATGCAGCTAACCTGGCCACAGAATATTAATTATGCTCATGATTCTCTGTGGGGTTAATCAAATGTCAACTTCCTGGATCCTCCAGCTGGGTGATGTATGAGAAACCTCGGTTCCACGGGCGCAAGTGTGTGCTGGCAGAAGGCGATGTAGAGATCACCAACCCTTGGAAAATGTACCATAAAGAAGAAGAAGTAGTTGAGAATACGTCGTTCCGTATTGGTTCCCTCAAGAGGGTTGTACAGGTAAGCAGGCCATAAAGTAAGGTCTCTCTCCTCCTGTTAGCCAGTCAGTTAGTGATCCAGGCTGCACATATAGAAAACTGTTCTTCTGTACATTGGTACTTGGGCTGTCACTTGATTAAAGAATGCAGACCATGTTATTGACAACCTATTGCATTCCATTGTTCTCCTTCTCATCCTTCGATCTTCTTTCAGACCTGAGTTGTGGTGATTTTAAAAAAATATAAAGTGTAATTAACCACTATGGATAACTGAGTTTTCACAGGGCTATTGTGTCCTGAAAATTTTCTCCTTCCTTTCTACTTCTAATTTCAAAAAAAATTTCATTATCACTTCTTGGGTTAGGTTTTGCAGCCAATGCCAGTGGTGTTATTTTAAATACTTTTATCCTTATTATGAAATTATGACAATAAAAATATTTTTAAAGAGCACTCTAACTGCAAAATGAAAAGCGGTACTTGAGCGCCCTCCCCCATGATAATTAAACATTGATTCAGGAATACTGCAGCCCCAGGAAGTAATTAATTAGTCTATAAGGAAAATTGCATGGAGAAGCAGAACTTCTGCTGAATGGGAATTACTTCTAGGTAAACATAGAGTACAGCCTTGCTCATGGGGACAGACGTGGCTGGATTGTTATGAGGAAAAGAGTGCTATATTAACTACCATGTGAAACTCCAGTGTAATTTCTGCTTGCAGCCAATTGCAGAAAAAGAATGACTGAGAAGCAAAAAAGTGTTCATGTCAACACAGCAATATATAAATTACTTGGCTGTTCAAAGATACAAGTGGGAGCCTGTGAGACTCAAGGGGGGGAATCCCATCTCTCTCCTCCCACACACACACACACTCTTGTGCTGAGTCCACCATGGCCACTGGCTCCAGCGTGGAGCCCTGGGCAGTCTGGCAGCCGCCGCCAGGACCAGTGCAGCCCCCAGGCTCTCCCTGGGCTGCTCCACTGCCAGGCAGGCCCAGTGCAAAGTTGCAGGCTGTGGGTCTACTGCCACCAGCTCTGGCACAGCCCCTGGGCTCTCCCTGGGCTGCGCTACTGCTGCCAGACCCAGCACAGGTCCCAGGCTGCATCACCAATGGCAACATGCCCAGTACGGCTTCTGGGCATCAGCGGTGGCATGCCCAGAGCACGGGCTCCCGGGCTGCACAGCCACTGCCACCAGACCCATCACGGAGGTCTGGGCTGCTCAGTACCACCACTGTTGACCACTGGAGATAAGTGCATTCTCTGTGCACTTTGGGAGGGATTTAAATTCTTCCTGTGTATTTTTTTTAAAGTTTGAGATTTTTCTGCAACCCTGGTGAGTGCCCCAAGTTTGCTGGAAAATCTGTTTAGCCTCCATGTGGCCCCAATCTGCGGATTTAGCTATCTGCAGATGAGGCCACAGGTGACCTTGGGCCAGTCACTCTCTCTCAACCGGACCTACCTCACAGGGTTGTTAGGATAAAATGAGGAGAGAGAAGAACAATGTTTTATTCTGCTTTGGGCCCCTGTGTGTTTGTGTGTGGGGGGGAGAGTGTAAATAAATAAATATTATGTATTCTGTTCACAGGACTACAGGATTCCTGAGATCAGTTTGTTTATGGAAGAAAATGGGGAAGGCCCAAAACAGAGGTTCACTGATTCCTCAGAGGACTTGCGGACTCACGGCCAGCCTTTGAAGACAGCCTCTATCATTGTACACTCTGGCCTGTAAGAGACACATTTAAAGTGCTTTGGGAATTCATGGTATGAAGAGACCTAGAACTTGGCTAGATTGTAGAGTGTGAAGCGGACCCGAGCCAGGGCCAGCACACGACGTGTTGGTCCTTGAGGTGGAAAACTCCAAAAAGGATCACCCTTTTCAAATAACGACTTGAGGCATTCTCTAGGGGACTTGAGGCATTCTCCTGCACAGCTTCCACTGAGATAAATCAGGAGCTGTTGTAAGGGTTTGGCAGTGTAAAAGCTGAGCAGCACCCTTATGGGAGGGTGTCAAGAGGTGATGACAGACCTGCTGGGGCCACAGCTGCAGCATCATACACAGACATAGAGCTACCAAGTGGGAAGTACAAGCTGGCATAGGTGCAGGGTGATGACATCACTTGCTGGGGCCTGGTTCCACTAGCCACTGGGCAGCTGCAAGCTCTGGTGACCCTGGTAAGCCTTGGCCCTGGCAAGTCCATTGTCCCCCTTCCCTTTCAGGTGCTGAGCTGGGGTATTCCCTGCAGCCCACCCCATGAGTTACCACTGCTCTTCACCCACTTTCCTTTTCTACTTGCCATAACTGACTGTTTATGGTTGTTTTGTGTATGATTTTAACTGTATTTATATATGCATTTTTTAATGTAAGCCACCCTGAGCCTGCCTTGGCGGGGAGGGCGGGGTATAAATCGAACTAATAAATAAATAATACATAAATAAGGCAAAAGTAGAATCTCGCTTACTACAACAAAGGAGAATGATTAGTGGGCAACAGGACCACTAGAGGAAGGGCCTAGGCGCTACAATGTCTGCATTCTTTCTAGCAGCCTTTCTGTAGGCACAAAATGATCTGGAGCCCTGACCCACTCTGATTGCTCTTACTGCTCCTCCCCATCTTAGCTGTAACTGGATTTTTTGTTTGTCCTGAGTTTAGTTTCCCTTTTTTTCTGATGGTACAGACAGAAGGTCGAGACCCGGGTGCCGCATGATGGAGTGGGCTCCCGTCTCTAGTTCCAGTTCCTGCCAAACTAGCAGTTCGAAAGCGAGAAATTGCAAGTAGATAAATAGGTACCACTTTGGTGGGAAGGTAACAGCGTTCTGTGCGCCTTGGTGTTTAGTCATGCCGACCACATGACCGCGGAAACGTCTTCGGACAGCGCTGGCTCTTCGGGTTTGAAACGGAGATGAGCACCGCAACCCTAGAGTCGGATTCGACTGACTTTCGAGCAAGGGAACCTTTACCTTTACCTTTTTACAGACAGAAGGTGCTGGGGGCTTGCAGGAGCAGCACTGTGCTTTCTGCAATGCAGTGGGGGTTTGTGGGAGTTTTGTGCAAAGTGTGGAGTGTGATTAGGGCAAACTTTACCTGATTGGGCAGGAAGGCGTTTTGAGGCCAGGTTTTGAGATTCTCAAGTGGAGCCAAAAAAATGAAACAGATTCAAACATGTGGTGGTGGAGTCACTGTTCAAGTCTGAGAATGGATCCAGCGGTCTTGCATAAAAACCCAGATGTGCTGGGGGGGAAATAACAAGAAAGGCAGTGGATGGTTGTTTTATTTTATGTATTTATGTAAAACATTTTAGGCTGCTTTTACCCACATACTCAAGGTGGCTTGGATCAAACCGTAAAGCCCGACTCAAACCAAGGCAAATAAAACATTAAAACACAAATTCACAGAGCATGCCAGAGGATCATGTCAGAGTAAACACATAGAGACACTGTGGAGCTCCCAGATGTTCACTGTATGGCCCCATAGGCTATGGCAGGGCACTAGGCCTGGAGTGGGTCTTCTCCAGTCCAGGGTGAATGAAACATTGCTAGCCTGATGTGGAAGCTTCAAGTTGGGAGTTCATCTGGCAAGAAGTTCTAAACAGGTCCGGCTCCAGCTTATTTTGCACCCTAGGCGAGGATCCCTTCTGGAGGCCCCCCCTGCGCCCACCAATTTTCAAAAATAAATGCATTTTAGGAAGAATGAAAAACACCAATAATCAAGAAACTCCCAGAGTACGGGGCCGGGTGCAGTTTGATGCCCCTAAGGGCCGTCCTGCTCTAGGCGATCGCCTAGTTCGCCGAGTGAGTGAGCCGGCCCTGGTTCTAAAGTGCTAAATTGAAGGCCAGGCTCCTATTGTTTATATCAGGGCTGGCCAATCCAGAGGCCTCGTATCACCTGCCAATTGCAGAGCCTGGAGATGCACACCTCTGTTCCCTCCTGGGACAACTGTGTGAATGTGCTTTCCAGTTCAGTGACTACATATTAGCACCAACGTTCACCAGCCGTTCATTGGTTCTCTCTGTAATTTGCACTGCAGGTGGCTTGTTTATTTGAAACCATTCTTTGATGATGACCCGTACATCTTGGAGCCAGGTGGATATCCCAATTTGCAAGCCTGGGGGGCAAAGGACCCCTCCATCTGCTCCATGCATCCAATTAAGCTAGTAAGTATTTTTATGGCCGCATCTGGTGAAATGTTAACTATGTGTATATGTAGGAAGGGGTGGTTCCCAGTAACCCGTTTGCTCACTGTTTCTGTCAGGTAAAAGTTTGCATGGTATAGTGGCTCACATGGTAGGTTAGGAGAGAGAAGACCCAAGTTCAGATCTCATCTCAGATTTGAAACTTGCTGGACTAAAGAAGCTGATGTCCCTTACCCTAGGGAGCCAGTTTGGTGTAGTGGTTAAGTGCGCGGACTCTAATCTGGGAGAACCAGGTTTGATTCCCCACTCCTCCACTTGCACCTGCTGGATGACCTTGGGCAAGCAGTAGTTCTGGCACAGCTGTTCTTGAAAAAGAGCAGTTTCTGTCAGAGTTCTCTCAGCCCCACCTACCTCACAGGGTGTCCGTTGTGGGGAGAGAAAGGGAAAGGAGTCTGTAAGCCACTCTGAGACTCCTTTGGGCTGTGAAGGGTGGGGTATAAATCCAATCTCTTCTTCTTCTAGGCTAAAATCTATTTTTATTTATACCTTGCCTTTCTTCCCAATGGAGACCCAAAGCACCTGAAATCATTCTCCTTTCTTCCATTTTATCCCCACAACAACCCTGTAAGGTAGGGTAGGCCAAGATGTTTTTTTTTAAACTGGCCCAAGGTGACCCAGCAAGCTTCCATGGCAGAATGGGGATTTGAATCTGGGTCTCCCAGATACTAGTCTGATACTATAACTACTACACCTGGCTCTCACACTGGCTAATTTGTGCAAGGTGACCTGCAAGGTGACCAAGTCTCATTAGGTCTTGGAAGCTAAGCAGGGTTGCCCCGGTTAGTACTTAGATGGGGGACCACCAAGGAAGTCCAGGGTTGCTCTACAGAGGCAGACAACAGCAAACTACCTCTGATAGTCCCTTACCTTGAAAATTCCACGGGGCCACCGTATGCTGGCTGCAAATTGAGGCCACTTTCCATCGCCATCCCAAGGTAAAATGTCCCCCCCCCCCTTCTCAGCAGAAATTCCGGAACATTTACAGATCCAGCTCAGCAGAGAACTGAAAATGGAGACACAGTGTGCAGATCCCCTCACAGAGCTCTCACTTTGGTTTATTCTAATTTCAGGGTTGTCCTGTCGTAGAGAAACCCAGGGAGCCCAAGGTAAGAGACAAAGCAAACTGTTCCTACTTTTAAGCATAGGATGAAAATATTTCCCAGCAGTAAAGGGCAGTTGAGAACCTAGAGCCGAACTAGACGGGGTGGCATCTTCATGGCCACCACATAAGGCTGCCAATCTCCAGGTGGGGCCTGAAGATCTCCTGGAATTATACCTGCTCTCCAGCAGTCAGTTTAATTGGAGAAAATGGCTGCATCGGAGGGTGAACTCTATGGCATTACAGTCTGCTGAGGTCCCTCCCTTCCTCAGACTCCACACTTCCCAGTCTCTACCCTGAAATCTCCAGTAATTTCCCAACCCAGGGTTGACAACCCTACTGCCACAAGGATACTGTTGCCATTTAGGATGTGCGTTCAGCTAAATCCAAGCTGAAAAAAATACCTGAAAAATACCTTATCGGTATTTTCGGGGTATTGATTCAGCCAGATAGTGATCTCGGATATTGTTCATCTACCCGAAATGGCCAAGCCCTGAAAATTCTGAATATATTCAGGATTTTCGGGACTACTGGATAGACAAACAAAGGGCATTTAAAGAGATAGTGGTCCCTTTAAATGCCTTCTTCAAGCCACGTGACTCCATGTCTTGGAGAACTCTGAAGGTGTTTAAAAGGAATACGAGCTTTTTAAATGCCTTCGGAGTTCTCCAAGCTGTTGAGTTGTGTGGCCTGGAGAAAGCATTTAAAGTGACTGTGATCCCATTAAATGCCTTTTCCCCTCCTTCATTGAAATCAATGGATGAAGGGGTCATCTTATTTAGGGGCCCATAGAATTGGACCCCCTGGTCTAATCTTTTTTAAACTTGGGGAGTTTTTTTGAGGAGAGGCACAAGCAGCAATGCTGCAAATTTGGTACCTCTACCTCAAAAAATCCCCCCAAAAAACAGCCCCCTTGGGCACCAGATACCCCCGGATCAATTCTCCATTATACCCTATGGGGACCATTGATTAGAAAAGTTCCCATAGGGTATAATGGAGCAAAAAAAATGGATTTCCTGAATATTTCCCAGAGCCGAATACCATACCTGTATTGGAATTCAGGAATATCGGGAAATACCAGTATTTTGGGGTTCAATATACCCAAACCCAAAAAAAGGGTTGGGGTTGTTTTTTTGTTGCACACCTCCAGTTGCCATTTAAAGTAATTTAAAATTGCTGTATCGGCTCTTAGTGTGGCACTCTTGTGCCACCCTCCGCATGCTTTTTCAAGTGGGCAGGGGGTGTAGCTATTTTGACACTTGACATGGCGCGAGAAGAGAAAAAAAGCATTTTGGTGTGCTGCAGAGGTCTTCACAGCATTTCTAAATTACTTTAAAATGGCAGCAGCATCCTCATGGAAGCCACAAGAATACGGTCACATCTAGTTTGGCCTGTAGAAGCCTGTTGCTGCAAGATCAGCCTTTTTTTTTTTTTTTGCAAGAGGCAGCCACTGAGCTTGTTCAGCTTTTGAAGCAAGGTTTTTTTTGCCAAGAATGTGTTTTGCAAACATGCAGATTTTGCATAGGAGTGTCATTTGCACGCTTGTTAGAACCATCATGGGGCAAGGGGAGATTGCAGAATTTGTGTGTGTGTTTTAAAGAACTATCAATGCAGTGGCTATGGGTAGATGTGGGTCAGCCTTTTCCACATACTGTGCATTGTCAAACACCTCTCTGCATCCATGAAAACTAGGCACTTGCTTTATTGTTATAACCTGGAAGCCAGGATTCTCAAGAATCGAATTTCTGTGCAAAATCCCAAGAGACTATTAGCTGGTGAAGCTTTCACAGTGGCTCCAATGGCAGAAAGTCAAACAAGACATTGTTTGGGGTAGTGCTGTCAGCATCTTTAGACTATTCTAGCCGCAGGGTCAGGGGTGGACTGGCCATTATGGCCACTGGGACTTTTCTCAATGGGCCAATGGCTGGGGTTACCAATCTCCAGGTCGTAGCTAGGGTTTCCCTGCTATTACAGCTGCTCTCCAGGTAACAGTTCATCTGGAGAAAATGGCTGCTTTGGAAGACATTATGTTATTAAGTCCCTCCCCTCCCCAAACTTTGCTTTCCTCAGGCTCCAGCCCCAAAACCTCCGGGTATTTCCCAACCCAGAGCTGGCAACCCAACTGGTGGCCTCCCTCCAACCTGGGCTGGATTAGCCTAGTGGAAGCAGGCTGGGAAGGCGACAGGACTGCTGGGGAGTGGAAACTTACCAACATTCCCAGAGACTGCTTGGCAATGGGGACCTGGAGCATATGAGCAGACAGGGACTATTGCTTTGGAAAGATCCCACCAGTTTAATGCCTTCCCAAAAGGCATCTGTTTGCACTGAGGAATTAAGTGGGCACAGCTATGTCTGGCAAAATGCTGCAGCGCAGCAGGCAAACTGGGAGACGATACTGTAGGCAGAAACTAGACTGGTTCTCCATATGCAGCAGAATGAGCTGGCAGAGTCCTGTGGTGGTAGAGGGGGCTATACCACTTCAAGTAGCAGGTAAGAGTGGAGGCTGAAGGGTTACAAACCCTCTTCTCATCCTTAAAGTTAGGGGAGCGGTGGCACAGAGGATTTTTCCTCTGGTTAGTAACATCTGAGCTGAACAGTACAGCTGTCAGTTCTAGCCCTGTGTTGGTGTGAGCTACCAGCCTTGTCCCTAGCTCGCCGTCCACCCAGCGGTTCGAAAGCTTCGGCGAGTAGATAAAATGGGTACCACTCCTTAGAGAAGGTGGGCACACCAAAGACACCCCCCCCCCAGTGGGGGAGGTGTTAGCCGACGACCGGAATGCTCAGCTCGCAAGATTGAAAGCCTAAAGGAAAAAAAAAATCTCTTCGACTCCGAGAAGCCTGTAATGGGCCGTTCCGGCCAGGCGGTGACAGTGCGGCACTGCAAGACCTGGAGAAGCCGACGTCATCTAGCCGAGCCGAAGTCAATATGCCGACGGGATACGTCTGACCCTGCAGCTGAGCAAACCCTCGCCGACTGTGGATGTGTGTGATTTAAAAGATATATGTTGTCCTCCCTTACCCCCATAAATCATTGTTAGTCCCGCGTGAATGAGTAACTGTAAATCACTCAGAGCCAGCAAGCTCTGCAGGATTGAGCGATTAATAAATTGAAAGATTATTATTATTATTATATTTTTAACTCTTCATCCTCCACTCTGATATGCCAGACTTTTCACTTTGTTATTAAAAGTAAAAGACATATTTTAAAGGATGAATAATCTTTTCCCTTAATTATACCAATAGGAAACAGGAGAAGCTATTGAAATGGAGTGGAGGTTGAAAGGTTAAACACCCTTTCCTTTTCCTGCTTGACCCTGAGGCTTCACAAGTTTGCATTTATAAATGCAGGCAGAGATGCTTGATCTTCCTTATGCCTTTTTGAGGCTGGTGAACCATGGCACTATCCCCACCACCACATGCACACATCTAGCTTTTATAGCTACAGAGATAAGAGAGATGCTCTGAAGAGTATAGATAGGCTGGAGAAAAAAAATGTCCTGTCCCTTTAATAAAGGCTTAAAGTGCAGAAATGGGCAGTTGAATCTTTTTCGGAATATGCAGGTAAATTGGTTACCTGGTAAATAACTCTCCATTAAGCCTCCTTTAAAGGGACAGGACATTTTTTTCTCTGCGTTGTTGGCTACCCAATAGGCCATGCTTGATGAAGGAGCTCTTCCCTCCACCTCTGATCTGTTTTCTCACTCTTTGTTCTCCATATTTCTTGTCTCTCTACAGGCTATGATTTATGAGAAGCCACATTTCCAGGGCTTTTGCTGGGAAGTGAGTCGTGATATTTATGATTTAAAGAAGCTGGAAAACAATGAAGACTTCCAGATGGCCACTGTGGGGTCTCTGAAAATTGTGGGGGGCTGGTGAGTGTCTGGCTGCTGCAGGCATCAAGAAGGGCCTTTTAATGGAACATATCAAGTCACCTGTACCAGGGCTAGCACCAGGTTGGTGCACAACAACCCCTCCCCCCAGTTCAGTAGGGAGAAAAAGTGAGAAGTCTGGAATGAGCATTGTAAATGAACAATGTAAAAATCCCTCCACTTTCCATCATAGCTGCTGTAGAAGACCAGAATAAACAGATACAGAGATCCTAGAAGCCAGGCGTCCTTTCAAGCCAGTAGAGAAGGTTCCTGCTACCTTTTTGGTGCACCTCAAAATCTGACACCCTAGGTAATTGTCTAGGTCTGTATAGCAGTTGGGCCGGTCCTGGTCAGAACAGATAATTTGGGTCTCTCTAACCCAATGTTGCCTATTGGCAGTGGTTCTCCAAGGCCTGAAACAGAAGTCTTCCTTCATGGCCTTTTAACTGGAGATGCAAAGCAGTACTGAAACAGAATTCCTTCTGTCATCAGATTGGCCTGCATTGACCTCCATCAGCTAGCAGAGCAATATGAGACAGAAATAAATAGTCAGTAGCTCCAGTGTAATGTATTAATCCCAGACCACGTGGTCGTCCAAAGCCGTCGAGCTTCTGAGCTTCACTTCCAAGGTCAATGGACCCTGCGGATCCTAGACCGCACCAATAGGGGGGCTAGGCTCCCGGCCAAGAGCCTATGGAATTCGCGGCCACTGTAAATAGCCAATACAGGGAGTGGGGGGGGGTGTTTAAGGTGTGGGTTTCCTTGCACATATAAGCCAGCCTGCGAGCCAAGCAAATTGTCTTGTTCTACACTAATAAAAGTACGTGAGTTGAAATCACTCGTCCGTCTCCATACTTTTCACTGGCGAAGAAGGTGGGATTCATCCTCCCCTGAACAGAGACCACGAACCAAGCATCGCATCGAGTCTCTGCGCCAAGATCACCGCACGCCGCTTCGCCTCATGCTGCATCTCCGGTTGCCACTCATCGCACCATTCCCAGCACCGAGCATCGCACTGCTGACCCCGAGAGCAGCATCGCACCGCTCCTCACCACCAATCGCTGCCACCGTTCCCGAGCATCTCTCCCACATGGAATCGTAAGATGGCTGCCGCATCCGAGAGCCTCCCTGCTTTCGACATCTCCCAACCATCACAATGGGAAACCTGACTGGAGACCCTCGAGAGCCACTTCACCATCCACGATGTCACCGATCCGGGTAAGAAGAAGGCGTACCTCCTCCGGCACTGTGGTATGGAGGCTCATCTTCTCCTGAAGGACCTGATAGCACCCCGGCTGACCAAAGATGAGTCATACACCACTTTGGTCAAGGCGCTTTCAGACCACCTGGCTCCCAAACCAATGAAATTTGTGGAGCGGAAGGACTTTTTTGCAAAGGTCCAGGGCCCTGATGAGACCGCCTCTGATTTTCTCACAGCTCTGCGACGGGCCGCCACAAGGTGTTCGTTCCCAGATCTGGCTGACATGCTCCTTAATCAGTTCCTCTTGGGGCTACGGGAGCACAAGCTCCAGAGGAAGCTGGTCAGCCAAGATGACCTGGATCTTGACAAAGCGATCCTGGAGGCCACCGCTTACGAGAAGGCCCACCAAGACTGCCACGCCAAGGCGGTCCACCAAACACAAGCGTCTGTAGGCTCCGACGGCTCTGAGGATGAGGAGATCCTTATGGTCCACCGCAGGCCGTCCCAGCACCCTCATCGCCCAACAGGATCCACCTCGGCGAAAGCTGCGCCGTCCTCCACGTCCTGCACCAGCTGTGGCAATGCACATGAATGCCGGTCTTGAAGATTCCAGGACACCGTCTGCCGATCCTGCTACAAGGCCGGCCACATAGCCAAGGTTTGCCACTCCAAAGGACAACGACAGCGGACCATGGCACAGCTAGAATCGATGGATCTGCACTCCATTTTGGCGATACAGCATCAACTGGTATGTAACTTGCCCCCCAATGGCCCGGACAAGGTGTATGTGACTGTCCTTATTGAGGGGTCCTCCTGCCAAATGGAAATCGACACAAGCTCATCCTTTTCCATCATTTCAGCTGAGATGTTGCACAAGCCAGAGGGTCTCAAGTTGCGGGACTTTAATAAGAACCCTGTGGCGGTCCGGGGCTGGGGCAAGTTCCGAATACAATTTAAAGACTTTTCTGGGTTGTTGGACCTGTTGGTAGTAGAAGGGCACCTCTCTAGTTTGCTGGGCCTTTCCTGGTTCGGGCCCCTGGGACTTGCGATTACTGGGGTAAACCAGATCCGGCCGCCGGACTTCATGGCTGTGTGCGCGGAGTTCCCTCGGGTATTCGATGGGACTCTGGGGAGGTACACCGCGGGCCCCATTCCGCTGGATCTTGACCACAACGTCCAGCCTATCCGTATAAAAGCCTGTCTTCCCCCCATCACTATGAAGCCTAAAACTGAGGCGGAGCTCGATCGCCTGGTCGAGCAGGGGATGCTGGAACCGGTCGCATCCACGCGATGGGAGACCCCCATCTTCACGCCGGTAAAACTGAATGGGGATGTGCTTATATGTGCAGATTATAAATGCACGATAAACAAAGCCTTACAGGACCATCCTTACCCGGTTCCGGTGGTAAGCCACGTCCTGGCCACGCTGGTGGGGGTGCAAATTTTCGGCAAGCTGGATTTGGCACAGGCCTACCAGCAGCTACTGGTCGATGTGGCCTCTGCGGAGGCGCAGACTATCTCTACGCACAGGGGGGCTTTTAAAGTCAATGAACTACAGTTTGGTGTGTGTGTGGCCTCAGGGATCTTTCACTCTTTTATGGATTCCCTGCTCAAAGGCATCCCAGGAGTCCAGTCGTTTTTAGATGATGTGATCATCGTGGCACCGGATCCCGCCACCTTCGCTGATCGGCTCTGGGCAGTGCTTCAGAGGTTCGACTCCACTGGCCTCAAGGTAAAGAAAGAAAAATGCCTCCTCGGGGTGCCCCGCATCGAGTTTCTGGGGTTCGCCGTGGATGCCCAAAGGATCCACCCCGCGGACGATAAGGTTAAGGTGATTACACAGCCCCCCCCTTCTTCCAAGTCAGAACTGCAGGCTTTCTTGGGCCTGCTCAATTTTTATCACGTTTTTCTGCCCATGAAAGCCGCAGTGGTGGAATCCCTCCACCGCCTCCTGGACAAGGATGCTCTGTGGGCCTGGACGTCCGTGCACGCTATGGCTTTTTGGGGAGTCAAAGACTTGCTGACCTCAAATTTCGTGTTACACCACTTCGAGGAGGAGCTCCCGGTGGTCCTCGCCTGCAACACTTTTCCATACGGGGTGGGGCAGTCCTGGGCCACAGGTTGCAGGACGGCCGGGAGGTCCTGGTTGCCTTTTATTCTCTGACCTTGTCCTCGGCAGAGCGCAATTACGCGCAAGTGGACAAGAAGGCGCTGGCGATAGTGGCGGGAGTAAAAAAATTCCACCACTATCTCTATGGCCGGCCCTTTACAGTGGTGATGGACCATAAGCCCCTCCTGGGTCTCCTAGCCCCCGACCGTCAAACGGCCCAGATGGTTTCGCCCTGGGTCCTGCACTGGTCCATTTTCATGGCGGGCTACACATACGCACTTGTCCATCAGCCTAGGAAAGCTATGGGACACACGGACGCTCTGAGCCGCCTTCCTCTGCCCACCGTGGACCCGGCCCCGGCCCACATGGTCGCCCTCTTGGAAGCTCTTCCCAAGCGCCCAGTTCATGTGTGGGAGGTCGCCCACCTCACGGCCCAACACGAGGTTATCTGTCGGGTATTGGACTGGGTGGGGAGGGGGTAGCCTACGGCCAAGGAGGGCCCAAAATTTACGCCATTCATCACACGGAAGGACGAGTTGTCGGTGTAGGGTTGCTTGATGTGGGGAGGTCGGGTGGTGATACCGGCACCTCTCCAGCAACGCGTCATAGCGGCTCTGCACAAACACCACCCCAGGGTCGTGAGGATGAAGGCGCTCGCAAGGAGCTGCGTCTGGTGGCTGGGGCTTGACTAGGACATAGAGGAGAAGGTAAAAAGATGTCAGCCAAGCCAAGCATCTCGCTCAGAACCGCCTAGAGCCCCGGAGAGGGCCTGGGAGTCCTCTCATCGCCCCTGGTCGCGGCTCCATCTGGACTTTGCGGGGCCATTCCAGGGGCAGCTGTTTTTCATTCTGGTCGATGCATATAGCAAGTGGCTGGAGGTCATCCCGGTACCGTCAACCTCTTCGAGGTCCGCCATCAGAGCCATGTTGCGGATCTTCAGTGCCCAGGGCATCCTAGACACCCTGGTAACGGACAACAGGACCGCCTTCACATCCGGGGAGTTCCAGGAATTCACCAGCTATTATGGGATCCGCCACGTCCGCTCGGACCCATTCCATCCCGCCAGCAACGGCCAAGCGGAACGCATGATGAGGACCACCAAAGACGCGCTCCGCCGGCTAGAGACCAAGGACTGGGATTACAAGTTGGCCTCGTTCCTCTTTGGGCAGAGAACCACCCCGCACACCACCACGGGGCACAGCCCAGCCGAGCTACTCCAAGGCAGACGTCTCACGACGAGATTGGACCAACTTCACCTGGACCGGGCCCCGGAACAAGAACCCAACATAAAGACGTAGGAAGCGGCACAGGGTTTCTTCCCGGAGGACCCTGTGTATGCGTGGAACTTCGCCTGGATCCCTGTGAGGGTGGTGAGAGTTAAAGGGCCCCGTTCCTACGAGGTCTCCAGCGAGGACGGGCTAATTCTCCACCGCCACATCGACCAGCTGCGTTGGCGCGCGCTGCCTCTGGAGCCGGAGGACCTGGAGGACCCGGTCGCCCCTGAAACGGAGGAACCTTTACCTCCAGGTGGTACCCTGGACCCCACAGACCCTGCGCCCATTCAATCACCAGCCCAGCAGCCCACAACACCCTGCGAGACTTCCATGTCAACTCCTCTGTCGCCGGCCAGCACTCTGCCAAGTGCATCGGCATCGGCCCCGGCTCAGCCGATCCCAGGACTCCGCCGCTCCACACGGGAACGGAAGGCATATCTCAAGGACTCCCCAGCATATCTCAAGGATTTTGTGTGTGGGTGTCTTTCAGACCAAGGGGGAAGGGGTGTGATGTACTCATCCCAGACCGTGTGCACTAATAAAAGTTCAAATCACTCGTCCGTCTCCGTACTTTTCACCAGGGTGCAGGAGAGAGGTCTCTTGGGACTGTTGGATGATGCCAAGAGGGCAAACGTTTTGTTTCTTTTAGACTGCCTCCTGGTATAATGTGCACTGCCTGCTTACCACAAGCTGTGAAAAGAGAGTCTATGCCCATAGGAGCTCCACTATGACTGGAGACTGTAAATGAAGACCTGCTTCAATTTCAGCCCCACCTTGTGGCGTTCAGGAGGGCTGCCACACTCCTGTCATTCCATAAACATTGTAAAGTGGAGTTGTTCAGGAGAGCTTATCTATCAAGGTAATAGGGCTATGCTATAACAGAATAGTTTATTAAGGCATTTTATAAAGGGGATGGGACCAGTGTTCCCTCTAAGCTGAGTTAGTGTGAGCTAGCTCACAGTTTTTTAGCCCCCAGCTCGCACATTTTTGACTTAGCTCAGGAAGGATGGCTCCAGAGCAAACTAATTGATGCAGCGGCCAAATTGCTCGCTCACAACTTCAATGCCAGGGGCTCACAAAGTAGAATTTTTGCTCACAAGACTCCGCAGCTTAGAGGGAGCATTGGATGGGACTGTGGATTTTACCACCGTGTATCGGTATTCTCAGACTGCTGCACATATTACCCTGTTGTCGTTTCATTGGTAATCTTAGTCCATTGCTCATTCGAGGTCTCCTCATACTAACTGCACTGTGTAATCCACTTTGAATCTCAGTGAGAAGGTACAGTACAATAAATAAATACATAAATGCTATAAATAAATAACATTGGTCTCTGCTTGTAACAGGACTTTTTGATTGACGGCCTCAATCGTGGAATGCCCTTCCATTTAAGTGAACATATCAGGCCACTCCTAACAGACAGTTCAGGTCTCTCTAGCCCAGAACTGTCTGCTGGTGGTACCTCTCCATGGCTGTTGATAAAATATACAAACCCTAACTTTTTTGATGTTGAGTCACAGTCCACTGTATAATAAAATAAGGAGAGGGAATGGGCTTGGGTGGCAGATGGGGGGGGGGAACAGCCACGAAGAAGAAGAAGAATTGGCTTTATACCCCGCTTTTCTCTACCCAAAGGAGTCTCAAAGTGACTTACGATTGCCTTCCCTTCCTCTCTCCACGACAGAGTTCTGTGACTGGCCAAAGGTCACCCAGCCGGCTTCATGTGGAAGAATGGGGAACCAAACCTGGTTCTCCGGATTACCGTCTGCCGCTCTTAACCAATACACTACACTGGCTCTCACTCACTGTTTTCACTGTAGAGCCAGTTTGGTGTAGTGGTTAGAAACACAGGCTCTAATCTGGGAGAAGCAGGTTTGATTCCCCACTCCTCCACATGCAGCCGCTGGTGTGACCTTGGGTCAGTTACAAGTTCTTTCAGAGCTGTTCTCTCTTGAGCAGTTATCAAAAGAGCTCTCTCAGTCCCACCTACCTCACAGGGTGTCTGTTGTGGAGAGGGGAAGGGAAAGGAGATTGTAAGCTGCTTTGAGACTTCTTCGGGTAGTGAAGGGCAGGGAATAAATCCAATCTCCTCCTCCTCCTCCTCCTCCTTTCCCCCCCCCCCCCCCCCCCCCCCCCCCCCCCCCCCCCCCCCCCCCCCCCCCCCCCCCCCCCCCCCCCCCCCCCCCCCCCCCCCCCCCCCCCCCGTAGCCAAAGCAGCTCCTTCCCTCTTCATTCTGCAGGCATCTTTAACAACAGCATGGGAAGCCATGCATTTTCGATAGGGCTTCCTGAACACCTGTGAGATGCGAGAGTTTAGAAAGCCTCACTGCACATGTACAGGTTGGGGAACAAGAGGAGAACCTGCTTTAGCTATTTTACTTCCTAGTGATGAGAGGCAAGTAAGTAGTGGCAGTGAGGGATGGGGATGGTGGCAGTGGCCCCAGGTGGCATCCGTTATGTAGCCACTACTGTTCAAGGTTGTCTTTTACCTTCTGTCTTTTTGGGTCTTGCTTACATTTTCAATAATATTTTGAGAGCCACTGTGGTGTAGTAGTTAGAGAGTCAGGCTGTAGTTAGAGTGGTGCAGTAGTTAGAGAGTCTGTGAGACTGAGATCCAAATCCCCATTTTGCCATGGAAGCTTGTGCCAGTCACACACACTCAGTCTAGTTTACCTTGCAGAGTTGTTGTTGCGAGGATAAAATGGAGAAGGGGAGAATTTGTAAGCCACTTTGGGTTCCTGTTGGGAAGAATGGTAAAGGTAAAGGTTTCCCTTGCTCGAAAGCCAGTGGAATCCAACTCTAGGGTTGTGGTGCTCATCTCCGTTTCAAAGCCGAAGAGCCAGCGCTGTCAGAAGACGTTTCCGTGGTCATGTGGCCAGCATGACTAAACACCAAGGCGCACGGAACGCTGTTACCTTCCCACCGAAGTGGTACCTATTTATCTACTTGCAATTTCTTGCTTTCAAACTGCTAGGTTGGCAGGAGCTGGAACCAGAGACGGGAGCTCATCATGCAGCACTTGGGAAGTAGGGTATAAATAAGTGAATTAAGAAAAGTAAGCAAGACAAGTAAATACAGTATTTATTTATTTGTAAAATGTTTATGCTTCTTTCGCAGAGAACCTGCCCAAGGAATAATAAAAAACATAAAACATAACGTTATTGAAATCCACCATTCAAACAAAGCAGAGGATAAAACAGCATAAAACACAAAGCAGCTTAAAACGGGTCTTAAACATTTCTCAGGCTAAAAACAGACCATAAAATGAGGTTACAAAGATCAACCCCTTAATTAAAGTGTGGGTAAACAGAAACATTTTGGCCTGGTGCCTACAAGAAGGTAGTGTACTTGTGAGGCAGATCTTAACTGAGAGACTGGACAATATGGGGAAAGGTGGTCCTTCGAGAACCCTGGCCCCAAGCCATTTAGGGCTTCAAAGGTATGACTTGTGCTTGGAAACAAATGTTACAGAAAAATACGAAAGTAAATGCGATAAATAAATTGGAAGTGATTGTATAGCTGAATAGGAAGGGAGAATTAACTTGTTTCCCCCTTCCTCTTTCCTGCCCGCTCCTCTGCCACTCAGCTGGGTTGGTTATGAGAAGGAAGGTTTCCGTGGCCATCAGTACTTGCTGGAGGAGGGAGAGTACCTTGACTGGTCCCAGTGGGGAGGCTACAATAAACAACTGGTGTCCCTTCGGCTGATCCGGACGGTGAGCATACTTGCCTGCTTGTAGGGCTGGGGGAGGGGCATCGTGCCGTTGGAGGAGAAAGTGTCCCTTGCCTTTATAGCCAAGGCTGAATTTCCAAAATGAAGTTCCATGGCTCCCCTGGAAGTTGCAGCTATACCTTAAGAATAGATGTGTGTGTGTGTGTGGGGGGGTAGTTTCTAAAGTTCTGGAGCTGTCTCCTAGCAAACCCTGTGGGTAAGGTTGACACCTGGCCGGGGGGGGGGGGGGGAAGCCCTCTGCCTTTAACTGAGGTTTAATACACAAGATCAGCAGTAGAAGCTTGCCATGGCATGAAGATAAATTACATTGCCTGATAACTGCTGCGGAACAAACTGATATTAAAGGGACAGCTCCAGGGACCAGTATGAAAACCAGCAATCCTATATGTGGTTGCAATCTGAGCTCTTCATACTTTATAATGAACTGTTTTTTCCAAAAAACTATCGGGGGGGGGGAATTAAGGCAGGTGCAGTCAACAACAAAACGTATCTTATTGCTGCATGGAATTTGGATCTACCTCCTTCTGCTTCCATTAAATGCAGTGTTCATCCACCTTTCCAAAAGCAGGATCCAGCTTCCAGTGTGAACTGGCAGCAGGGCCGTACTGAACAGCTAACTTGTGATATCAGAGGTTACAGCATAGTCATGTGAGAGGAAGAAGCACTGAAGTCTCTGAACCTGCCTGTGGTAGAAAGGAATCTTCTCTGGATTCTGGGAGTGACCACTGAGTGCTGTGTAAAGTTGCCAAACCTCCAGGTGGTGCCTGAAATCTCTCAGAGTTATAACTCATCTCCAGACTACAGAGACTACGGAGATCAGTTCCCCTAGAGAAAATGGTGGCTTTGGAGGGTGGACTCTATAGCATTGTACCCCACTGCATTCTAAGTCAATTTTTTTTCCCTGGAGCAGGATTTTTTGGACCCGACACTTATCCTGTTTGAGGCCGTGGACTTCAAAGACGGCCCCAGTGTTGAGCTCTGTGAAGCCATGCCAGATGTTAAGCTGGCTGGTTATGGGACCACAACACAGTCCATCCATGTACTGAGTGGCGTGTGAGTACCTCAGGGTAGGACAGTCAAGTGGGCAAGGAGGGAGAAGGATGTTGCCTCTTTGGGAAGGTGATCCCACAGAAAACTGGCATTGACTGGGGCTGATTTCGCACTAGAGCTGCCTCGATGTTGCGCCGCCGTTTGCCCCGATACTATTGGTCAATTTCACACCCGAAGCCATGGGGCTGCATTTTGACCCGCGGCTTTGCCCGATTTCCTCCGCAGTTTCGTGATCCTCAAAAAACAGGATCACGAAACTGCTGGGGAAATCAGGTAAAGCCGCGAGTCAAAATGCAGCCCCGCAGCTTCGGGTGTGAAATTGACCAATAGTATCGGGGCAAACGGCGGTGCAACATCGAGGCAGCTCTACTGCGAAATCAGCCAGAGAGTCATGAGGAGACGGGGCTTCAGCCTTCACTCCCATGCTGTTTTCTCAAGGGACCCAGAGACCCACTCTTTGCCCCATCTGCAGAAACTTATGTGTAGCCATCAGTTTCCCCAGTGAGGCAAATACTGGCTCCTCAAGACCATTTCAGATTGGGAAAATGGCAGGAAGGTGAATGCTGAAGCCCCCTCTCCCCAAGTGCCACGATTCTGATACAAATAAAGTTAACTTCCAGTCCATGTCTATAAGCTGACCCTGTGGATTTTTGTGTGTGCATGGAGTGTCTAACATGCTAATCGATCCTTTGTGGACTGGAGTTGGTTTATGCCATACAAGGCAGGATTCTAAACTAGAAATCGATGTTCACTCTCTGGATCATTTTTTGGAGAAACAAACTCTTAATTCGCCAACATGCTTGCATTTAGATATCTTGGCCAATTGGGGCTTGGATCAAACTGAGAAATCCCTATATCAAGATCCCTTTTTCTAGAGGAGCTCAGCAACAAACTCTGTGTGTTCTATTAGAGTTTAATTGTAGTTTATCTGTCTGAACACAGCCAGTGTCTTGAGTAGAGTTTGGAGACTGGGACACTTCATATGGGAGCAGTCACTTCCTCAAGTACCTAGATCTGAAACCATTGGGAAGCCTTTAAAGGCCAGACCTTGAAATCTTCCCAGGAACAAATAGGTAGCTGGAAAGTTGATGAAGCACAAGAACGTTGTTCTTTGTTTTAATAACAAATGGGCAGCATTTTTGTTTTGTTTTGTTTGGATTTACTAAAGTTTCTGGACAGTCTCTGAGGATGAAAAGTTCAAACCTGAATTTGGCGCTCTGATCAAGATAGCCTAGGCAAGCCCAAACTCGTCAGATTTTGGAAGCTAAGCAGGGCCAACCCTGGCAAGTATTTGGATGGGAGACTTCCAGAGAACTTCTGGGCCTGGAGGCCAGAGGCAGGCTATCAAGCCACTTCTCTGAATGTCCCCTGTGTCCCAGTAAAAGTTACCAGAGGACACCATGACGTCCGGGCATGGGTGCACGCAAGCACACGCACACACGCAAAAATACCCCCTCCAAAAAAACCTGAAGTTGTTGTTTACAGTGGACAAACATCTCAGGTTGCACAAAGTCATCAAGGGCAAAGAGATCACATGAAACTGCCTTATACTGAATCAGACCCTTGGTCCATCAAGGTCAGTATTGTCTACTCAGACTGGCGGAGGCTCTCCAGAGTCTCAGGCAGAGGTCTTTCACATCATCTGCTGCCAGATCTTTTAACTGGAGATGCCGGGGATTGAACCTGGCACCTCCTGCATTTCAAGCAGATGCTTTACCACTGAGCCACAGCCATTCCCTGACTATATTCATGCACTTTTAAGAATAGGTATAGATTTCACATGTCAAGGCAGCTTGGGCCCCAAGGCTGGGAAGTAAAGGTTTTCCAGTGCAAAACACAATCAATGAGAGTAGGGAATTTTGAGATCTGGACTGAGTTGTAGAGAGCTGAGCTAATCCTTATAGAGAAACAGTTTAGTGTAGTGGTTAAGGTGTCAGACTAGGAGACCCAGGTTCAAATCCCCTTTCTGCCTTGGAAGCTTGCTGGGTGACCTTGGGTCTGTCACACTTTCAGCCTAACCTACCTTAAAGGTTTGTTGTGAGGATACAATGGAGGAGAGGAGAATGATGCAAACTGTTTTGGGGGGCCTCATGGGGGGAGGAAGGCAGGGTACAAAAGGAGTAACTAAATAAATAAATCTTCCATTTCCATGTCCAGGTGGGTGGCCTATGAAGACAGGAATTTCTCAGGGGAGCAGTACATCCTAGAAAAGGGTGTGTACCGCAGCTGTGAAGACTGGGGAGCTGGCAGCTGCAAGATCTCCTCCATACAGCCCATCCTTCAGGTGAGAATCCCATGTTTCTGCATTCATCCCTCCCCAGAAGAAATCAAATCCTCCCACTCACCTGAAGCAAGAGCCTCCTGTCTCTTTCAGTCTTGTGGAGAGCCACTGTGGTATAGTGGGGAGAGTGCTGGACACTTAGCTTCTGGGACACTTGGGCCAGTCTGCAGTGCCTACTTTGCCGTGGAAGCTCTTTGAGTGACTCTGGGCCAGTCAAACACTGGTGGGGCTAATTCATACATTACAAAGTCCTTGATGGATGTGTTCCGGGAATTCTCGATTGGGAATTATTAACTTATTTGGGGAATTAATTTAATTATTGGGAATGTATTAACTCCCAGGCTCATATGGGCCCAATTTGGATTAGAGGGAAGGGTGGTTTATGACTTTCCTCCCGCAATGTTTTCACTAGCTGAAATGGCCCCAGGGGATCTGCTGGAAAACTTATGTGTCGCCATCAGTACATACACGTTTACCCCCATGGTCAAATAGGGGCTGCACAGAGTTATTTCAGGTCAGAAAAATGCCATGGTGTGGAAGGCTTTTCCTTTTCCCCCTGCATGCCATGATTTCAATCTGAAAAAAACCCAAGATATACTTTCCAGAGACACTGGGGGTGATTTCTCACTAGAGCTGCCTCGCAGCACAGCGCCGTTTGCCCCAACACAAACATGTCAATTTCACACCCAAGGCTGCGGGGCTGCATTTGACTTGGGGCTTCGCCCGATTTCCTCCACAGTTTAACTGCAGAGGAAATCGGGCGAAGCCCCGAGTCAAAATGCAGCCCCGGAGCTTCGGGTATGAAATTGACATGTTTGTGTCGAGGCAAATGGCGCTGGGCTGCGAGGCAGCTCTAGTGAGAAATCGCTTTAAGTCAAATATCAACAATGCAAGTAAATATTCAGTGTAATAGAAAAAACTAGAGCCCCAAGCCTTCTTGTGTTGCGGATTACTTTAGAGGTTACTGGGCTCCGTTTTCAAATTTTCCCTGAAATTGGTTGTTGCACCTTAGAATGATTGCTTCTATGGAGGAAGATACCTCTTGATAAAAGGTATTCTCTGAAACGGTTTGAATCACCGATCGAATTACCGTTGAGAAAAGAGAAGACATGAGTGACCTTTTTGTCACTTCATTGAGCCTCCTTTGATATTAATGGAGATTCGGTAGCGTCCTAATCATTTATGTCAGCATTAGATTGATATGAAGATTGTATTTTGTTAGAATATATTCAATTATGATTACATTTTTGATGTTGATTCATAATATCGATTTGGAATTTTGTGTATATTTTCTATATTGTTTATGTTATTGGAACACTATTTTTCTGTTACACTGAATATTTATTTGCATTGTTGATATTTGACTTAGTGTCTCCGGGTAGTATATTTTTGGGGTTTTTGGTTACTGCCTTCCCGTCCCTGTTTTTTTCATGATTTCTATCTGAGGCAAGGGAGCAAGGAAGGAATGCCAAAACTGACCTTGATAGAGTCCAGTGGTCTGATTCAGTAGAAGGCAGCTTCATGTGTGGATAAAATGCCTTGTGATTGGAGCATTCTTGAAAGCTCTATACTCTAAATGACACATAAGAATGGGAGATTTTGGAGACTCTGAGACTTTCAGTCTAGAAAAAAAGTGGCTAAGGGGAGCCATGATAGACATTTATAAAATAATGCATGGGGATACAGAAAGTGAATACAGAGAACTTTTTCTCCTTCAGGGGCACCCAATGAGAAACAAGTTCAGGATGAACAAAAGGAAATACTTTTTTAACTCAACCAGTCATTAAACGGTGGAACTCATTGACAGTGGATGGCCATGAGCATAGATGCTTAAAACAGGATTAGACAGATACATGGAGCAGAGGTCTATCAATAGCCAGTAGCCATGGTGACATATGGGAGTCTCCACATACAGAGGTAACTAACCTTTAAAGACCAGAGCTGGGCAGCAGCAGCAGGGGTAGCCTCAACCTCTGTGTCCTGTTTGTTTAGCCCTCAGGGCAACTGGTTGACTCCTGTGTTAACAGTAGGCTAGCTGGACTAGATGGACCACTGGTCAGATTCATGGTCTTATGAGATAGATATCTCTTTAGGGCACCTACCTTTGGAAACATCAAGACACCAGCATCCATTTCTCTACTTTTGGCCAAAAGTTGTATCATGGACCTTCTCCTTTTTTCCAGGTTGGAGAACACAGTCTACAATACATTTCTGTGGTGAGTAGTATATAAGGTAGGATGATGGTTCTAATGGCCCCCATATAACTAAAAGAAATGAATATCTGTGAATATACATATGTGGCAGGCAGCCTGCCTGAAGGCAGGCAGCCTGCCTGAAACTTGTAGGATGTGGGTTCATTGATATGTAAGTCTTTCATTCAAATTGAAAAGCTTGGGTGGCTGGAATCAGGCTCAGACTGTAGATGAAGAACCTGCTGTTGTTTTTCTTTTATATTACATTTGTTTTTACTTTTACATAGGTATATTTTATATTGTTGTGGCTTTCCACCAAAGAATCCTGGGAACTGTAGTCTGAGGCAGGTACAAAATATTATCTGAGACTCCCAAACTCTATCACAGAATTACAATTCCCAGGTTTCCTTGGGGAGAGGGAATGACTATTAAATCAATTAATGTCTATAAGCAGGGGTCATTTCGTAGAAAAAGAGGTGCAGGAGCTCATTAGCATAACTCATTAGCATAACTTATTTGGATATGTCACACACCCTGACATCACCGGAAGTGTGTCAGAAGGCAACACCCACCACTCAGGTTCCACTGAACTCTTGGACTGCTAGCTATGGGGGGGGGGGATGCGCAGATCTGCCCTCACAGAGGAGGGAGAGCTTGTAGCTGAATAAACCTTGGCCTTAAAGGTGCCACTGGGCTCTTTTGGATTGCAAGCTATTTACCTGGCTGCTTCTTGCTCCTTGTGGCCCGGGGCTGCTGGGAGCAGGGGGCGGGGCTTGTTGCATGTGCCTGCCCCCTGGGCTCTTTACTGCCGGAGCTCCACTCCTGTGCGCTCCTGCAGGAAATGACCCCCGTCTATAAGAATGCAGATATTCTTCTTTGCCCAAGTTCTACATTCTGTATCTGTATTATAAGCTCCATGTGGTCTCATATCTGACCTTTTGGCTCTCCAGATCCAACTTTTCTCGGGCCCAGAATTCTCAGGGGCTGAGATGTCATTCAATGAAGACCAGTCTTCTTTGCCAGACCTTTTCATTCCTCGCTCCTGCAGGGTCTATGGAGGCAGGTAATGATGTTTCACTGCTAGGACAGCTGAATGTGTCTGAAGGCTGTGATGAGGAAAACTTACACTAGTTCCAGGGGTTAGGATCTCTGTATGTACTGGTGTACCATGGGTGATTTTTAAAATATTACATATGTCTTTTTATATAGTACATCTCTCTTTATATTTCTGTATGCCTATTAGCTTTTTCACAGTGTGGCTTCCCCCAAAGAATCTTGGAAATTATGTGGTTTGATGAAGATGCTGAGGTGCATACAGTTCCCAGGGCTCTTTGGGGAAGGCAAAATGACCATCATACCAGTTTATGTCTGCGATATTGTAGATATTCTCCAGTGTGGTATGATTTGAAGTTTTCTGGGGAGGGAATTGTAGAGATTGGGACCACCATACACACCCTGTTCTGATTGCTAGTGGGGCATTTGGGACTGGACTTTAAAAGATGATATCAAAATTAGAAGGGTCATACAGGAGCAGGCAGTTTGTCAGTCCCAAGGCATTTAGGGCTTGTAACGTCAAAAATGGCACTTTGACTTGTTTTTGAAAGCAAACTATTTTGAACCAGAGTTCCTATAGAGACCATGACTTGCTGTCCCTTATGTGACCATAGTTAAGTGTGTCTCTCCTTTACAGCTGGATTCTCTATGACAGCCACCATTTTGAGGGTGAGCAGCATGTGATCTCCGAAGGCGAGTATCCAACGCTGACGTCCATGGGCTGCCTCTCTGCCACAGCGATCTGCTCCCTGAAGAAAGTCCCCCTTGTAAGTTACACACCCTGCAAGCTGCCTTTTAAATAGAGTTCTTCATCCAGTACAATACTAAACAGTGGTAAATTCAGTAATTTTTGCATGCAACACATAATAGTTGATTTGTGGAACTCGCAACCAAAAATATGTAGCAATTGAAAGGCTGTACCAAGCACAGTGAATGGGATTTCCCAGTGGCAACACTACTGAAATTCTGTACTCAGCCTGAATGGAATTTCTGACCTATCTTGTAGGAAAGCTCTTGTGTTTTTATATGACAAATTCTGGATTTGGGAGAGTGTCACTAGCATAAGGGGCCAACATCTTCCAAGACCTAAAACCCAGCAGACATAGGTGCCCCATCAGCTCCCACAAGGAAATGTGAAATTGTCACATAGGACCCGGATTCCCATGATGTTGCAAGGCACATGGGTTTCTGGGGCAGTCTCCCATTTCCTGGTAATCAAATTGTGCCATTCACTGCCAGTGGACGTAGTGGGGTGGATCCAACCATCCTCCAAGGAGCCTTCCTCCAACTTAAGTGGCTCTTCCTCCAGTGGAAGTCTCTTTAGGCTGGAGGAAGGCTTCAAATTTTGCTCAGTGGAATGGGAAGACGGGTCCATCCCACGGATGACCAAGAGCACAGATGGTTTTGAAATGGGATAAAACAGAATCATGGAGAAAATGGCTGCTAGCCATGAGGCCTAAAGGGAGCCTCTGTGTCCAGTCAGTCAAATGCCACAGGGAAGCCCACAGCCAGGATCTGCATTCAACAGCCCTCACCTGCTGATTGCATCTGACAGTGGAAGGTATCCTGCCTCAGAATCCATAGGTCTCATTTGGCTATCGTTGCTCATTGCCAGTGACAGAACTGCTCTCCTTAATAGGGATGAGCACAAAACAGGAAACTGTGGTCTGTGATGGTTCATGCTTCCTGGCATGCCCAGTTCGCAAACTACAAACTGTCATGAACTTTTAGGGGCTAAATGAACCGGTTGGGTTTGTGAGGTTTGTGATGTGGTAGAACTGCCCCCTGGTGTGCTAGAGACACCAGACTCACAGGGGGTCTCCAGCTGATTCTCCTCTACCTGCCTTCCAAGTTTGGTGAGGATTAACTTTATGGGGTCCAAGTTATGCCCTCTCCCCAAAGAAGGTACCCCCATCCTCCATAGTTTCCAGTGGAGGAGGAAAAAACTGCAAAAAAAGCAAGGGCAACAGAAACCCAGCAGAACAGAATCAAAGTCCCAGAGAATCTCTACAGCAGAAACTGAAGGTTGGGGGCATTTTTACAAGACCAGCAGAGCCAGTACCACTGTGGCAGTCCAAACCCAACAGAACTAAGGTCAAACCAGAGAATCTCTGCAATAGAAACTGAAGGGGGGGCATTTATGCAAGCCCAGCAGAAACAGTGCAATGTACTAGTGCCCAGCAGAACCCAGTGCTATTGTGGCAATGCTAGCTCAATAGGACTGATTCAGTAGGCACAGAATCACACTCCAAGCAGTGAGGGGTTGCAAGCTCAGCAGAACCGGTGCAATGCTCAGAAGAACCCAGTGCCAATGTAGGAATGCCAGTTCAATCATAATCCAAGCAAGAGGGGGCATTTTTGCAAGCCCAGCAGAACCCGTACAATGTGCCCAGTGGTACCAGTGAAATCAGAGTGCCCAGCAGAACCCAGTACCACTGGCATTGCAAGCTTCAAGGGATTGATCTCAAAACACAGAGTCACCAATCCAAGCAAGGGGGGTGGGATTTTGCAAGCTCTATGCAGGAAAATGGGAATTGAACACAATGCAATTGGGGCAAAGGAGGGGGGATACTCTTGAAACTGACATGACTAGTTTGAAACACAACATTTCTAAGGCTGGAGAATTAAAAAAACCCTTTGCTTTGATGTTTGGTAAACGTTTTGTTTGAGCAGAGACAGTCTGCCTGGAAATGTATCCATTCACAAACCCACATGAACCTCCACAAACTGCTTGAAAGTTCGTGGAAAGTTCATACTGAGTGACCTGCTACGAACTTCAATTTGCAAACCACAAACTGACCAAAATTCATAACAAACTTCAGTGAGCTGGTTTGTGCCCATCCCTACTCCTTAAGTCTGTCCATCCCTCTTTTAACTCCAACTAAGCCAGTGGCCGTGTGGGGCTCCTCCTGTCCCTGGCCCACTGCTTGGTCCTCTACTGCAACTCCTATACCAGTAGAGGGCCTACTAGGCCTCAGTGAGAAGAGGGAGGTGGTTGCAACACCAGGGTTGTCCTCCTAGCAGGATCAGCTACATCAGCCTTGGCCTGCTTTTGGGCCCTCTTTAGATAACCAGTGGGATGACAGGCCCTTGTGGACATTCCCACTCCATGAGACCTGGAAGAACTAGGAACTGGAGGAAAGCTCTCATTGGCCCTGGGCAAGTTCCTCCCACCCCATCCATCTGACATTACGCCAAATGCCGGTCCTCACCACCTGTCTGCAGGACTACCTCTTGCTTCAGAGGCCAGCCCCACCTGCTGCTTACAGCCCCACCCCCACCAGAGGCCTTCTAGGTTGCCTCTTTCCTCAGGAGCCATCCCTGCAGCCTGCCGCTTCTGCATCCCCCACAAGCCCACTCTGGTTGCACTGTGGCTCAGGTGGGTGGTACCAGGGCCGCCCCCCCCCCAACCAACCAAGCAAGGACAGGCTGTTGCCATTGTAACAGCACAGCCTGGCTGGTGATACAAGAGGGTTGTCCTGGCTGTCTGCTGTAATCACAGAGGAGAAAGGAAATTATTTGCAATGCTGCAGCTGGTAAAGTCAGGTGGGGTCCTGCTGCCCGAAAGGCCATCAATGCATCGGGGAATAGAGTTCCACAAGTCAATGACTCATTGTGAAATGTAGCACTTTGGCCTGTCATCCCTGTGTCCCTTTTTCACAGTTCTTTTCTGAGCCCTCCATCTACCTGCATGGGCTGGAATGTTTTGAATGGAAAGAGATTGAACTGAACAGCGAAGTGCGCAGCCTGCAGGCTGAGGGATTCAACAACCATGTGCTCTCTGTGCGGGTAAAGGGAGGCATGTAAGTACACAGTCACCCATTCTTGGTTGTGCCAGCTACCCTTTGGGGGCTGCCAAATGTGAAGCCTGAGGGGCCTTATCCAGCCCTTTGAGATTCTGCAGGAGGCCTTCAAGTCAGGCCAGTGGTCAGCAATCTTTTGTAATCAAAGAGCCGAACAACATCAAAATTCAAAGCAAGAGATCAACAAAGAGCCAGTATAAGAAACACCATTTGCATTATTGAAAATATTAGCAGTAAAGCCCATTGTGAAAGCAATACAACGAGCTCTAAAAAGATGTGATGTGTAACAAATGCATAGGCTGGAAGAAGGTAAAGTACATAGTTGTTGTTCAGTCGCACAGTCGGGTCCGACTCTTCTGGACCAGCTCCCGCCAGGCTCTCCTGTCTTCCGCCGTCCTCCGAAGTTGGCTCAATTTCATGTTCGTTGCATCGCTGACACTGTCTAACCATCTCATCCTTTGCCGTCCCCGTCTTCTTTGACCTTCAATCTTTCCCAGCATCAGGGTCTTTTCCAGTGAGTGCTCCCTTCTCATTTGGTGGCCAAAGTATTTGAGCTTCAGTTTCATTATCTGGCCTTCCAGGGAACAGTCAGGGTTGATTTCTTTGAGGATTGACTGATTTGTTCTTCTTGCAGTCCAAGGGACTCTCAAGAGTCTTCTCCAGCACCATAGTTCAAAAGAATCTATTCTTCGGCGCTCGGCCTTCCTTATAGTCCAACTCTCGCAGCCATACATGACTACTGGGAATACCATTGCTTTGACCATGCGGACTTTTGTTGGCAGGGTGATGTCTCTACTTTTTATCATGCTGTTTAGGTTCGCCATCGCTTTCCTCCCAAGGAGCAGGCGTCTTTTAATTTCATGGCTGCAGTCACAGTCTGTGGTGATCTGGGATCCCAGGAACGTGAAGTCTGTCACTACTTCCACGACTTCCCCTTCTATTTGCCAAGGAGTGATGGGGCCGGATGCCATGATCTTAGTTTTTTTGATGTTGAGCTTCAAGCCCACTTTTGCGCTCTCCTCTTTTACTCTGAGCAAGAGGCTCTTTAGATCCTTTTCACTTTCAGCCATTAGAGTGGTATCATCTGCATATCTGAGGTTGTTGATCTTTTCCCCAGCAATCTTAATTCCCGCTTGTGATTCATCCAGGCCAGCATTTCGCATGATGTACTCTGCATATATATTAAATAAGCAAGGTGACAGTATACATCCTTGTCGTACTCCTTTTCCTATGCTGAACCAATCAGTTGTTCCGTATCCGGTTCTAACTGTCGCTTCTTGGCCCTTATACAGGTTTCTCAAGAGACATGTGAGGTGGTCTGGTACTCCCATCTCTTTAAGGACCTGCCATAGTTTGTTGTGATCCACACAGTCAAAGGCTTTAGCATAGTCAATGAAGCAGAAGTAGATATTTTTCTGGTACTCTCTTGCTTTCTCCATAATCCAGCGAATGTTGGCAATATGATCTCTCGTTCCTCTACCTCTTCGAAACCCAGCTTGTACTTCTGGTAGTTCTCTATCCACGTACTGTTGAAGCCTAGCTTGTAGGATCTTGAGCATGACCTTGCTAGCGTGTGATATGAGTGCAATTGTGCGATAGTTTGAACATTCCTTGGCATTGCCCTTCTTTGGGATTGGAATGTATACTGATCTTTTCCAATCCTGTGGCCACTGTTGCGTTTTCCAAATTTGCTGGCAAATGGAGTGCAGAACTTTAACAGCATCATCTTCTAAGACTTTGAATAGCTCAGCTGGAATACCATCACCTCCACTAGCTTTGTTGTTAGTAATGCTTTCTAAGGCCCATTTAACTTCACATTCCAGGATGTCTGGCTCAAGGTCAGTGATTATACCGTCGTGTTTGTCAAGGACATTGAGGTCTTTCTTGTATAGTTCTTCTGTGTATTCTTGCCATCTTTTCCTAATCTCTTCTGCTTCTGTTAGGTCCCTACCGTTTTTGTCCTTTATCATGGCCAGCTTTGCATGGAACGCTCCCTTGATTTCTCCAATTTTCTTGAAGAGATCTCTAGTCCTTCCCATTCTATTGTTTTCTTCTATTACTTTGCACTGTTCATTCAGGAAGGCCTCCTTATCTCTCCTTGCTGTTCTCTGGAAATCTGCGTTCAGTTGGGTAAATCTTTCCTTTTCGCCTTTGCCTTTCGCTTTCCTTCTTTCCTCTGCTATTTGTAAAGCCTCATCAGAAAGCCATTTTGCTTTCTTGCATTTCTTTTTCTTTGGTATGGTGGTGATTGCTGCCTCCTGTACGATGTCACGAACCTCTGTCCATAGTTCTTCAGGCACTCTATCTATCAAATCCAGACCCTTGAATCTATTCTTCACCTCTACTGTATATTCATCAGGGATGCGATCTAGGTCAAACCTGAATGGCCTCGTGGTTTTCCCAATTTTCTTCAGTTTAAGTCTGAATTTTGCAATGAGTAGCTCATGATCTGAACCACAGTCAGCTCCAGGTCTTGTTTTTACTGACTGGATAGAGCTTCTCCATCTTTGACTGCAAATTATATAGTCAATCTGATTTCGGTGTTGCCCATCTGGTGATGTCCATGTGTAGAGTCGCCTCTTAGGTTGTTGGAAAAGGGTGTTCGCTATGACCAGTGTGTTCTCTTGACAAAACTCTGTTAACCTTTGCCCTGCTTCATTTTGCTTTCCAAGGCCAAACTTGTCTGTTATTCCAGTTACCTTTTCACTTCCTACTTTAGCATTCCAGTCCCCTATGATGATGAGGACATCATTTTTTGGTGTTAGTTCTAGGAGGTGTTGTAGGTCTTCATAGAACCGGTCCACTTCAGCCTCTTCTGCATCAGTGGTTGGGGCATAGACTTGGATTACTGTGATGTTGAATGGTTTGCCTTGGAATCGGACAGAAATCATTCTGTCATTTTTGAGATTGTATCCCAGTACTGCCTTTTGCACTCTCTTGTTGACTATAAAGGCCACACCATTTTTTCTACGAGATTCCTGGCCACAGTAGTAGATATAATGGTCTTCTGAGTTAAATTCGCCCATTCCTGTCCACTTTAGTTCACTGATTCCTAGGATATCGATGTTCAGTCTTGCCATCTCATTTTTGACCACGTCAAGCTTACCTTGATTCATAGATCTTACATTCCAGGTTCCTATGTAGTATTGTTCTTTGCAGCATCGAACTTTCCTTTCACCATCAGACACATCCACAACTGAGGGTCCTTTCGGCTTTGGCCCAGCCGCTTCACTCTTTCTGGGGTTACTTGTACTTGCCCTCTGCTCTTCCTCAGTAGCATATTGGACACCTTCCGACCTGAGGGGCTCATCTTCCGGCGTCATATCTTTTAGCCTTTTGATACTGTCCATGGGGTTTTCTTGGCAAAAATACTGGAGTGGGTTGCCATTTCCTTCTCCAGGTGGATCACGCTTGGTCTGAGTTCTCTGCTGTGGCCTGTCCGTCTTGGGTGGCCCTTCACGGCATAGCCCACAGCTTCATTGAACTGCGCAAGCCCCCTCGCCACGACAAGGCAGTGTGTAATAGAAAGGTACAAATGTGGAAGTGAAGTCTCACATACCTGGTCAACAATGCCTTCTCTGGAGGGAGCTGCTTAAAGCCAATGCATTCATTACCCATCACATCTTTCTGGAGCTCGTTGTATTCCATTTACAATGAGCTTTACTGCTAGTTATAGATAAGGCGAGATGTTATATGTTTTATAATAGAAAAGATCAGAAGGCTGTCTGTCAAATGACCTTTCAGGCCCCATTGGGGTTTTCCCCACACAATGAGACACAATGACAGCAGGTGAAGGGAGTGGTGGCCGTGGCTGTGCCTCTTCCACTGAGGGAAGGCCAGGCAAGCGAGTCCTTCTTGGCCCTGTGGCCTGAGCAAGCCACCGCTGCCTCCGCCTCCTGGCCCAGCCTTACCTGCTGAGTGAGGAAGTCTGTGAGGAAGGGGACTGAGGCGGCTTCCTCCTCTCAGGCTTGGTGGGAAAGATCTGTGGGCTACTTCCCTTGGAGGCCCAAGGCTGCTGTCAGCAACATTTATTTCAGTGTGAGATTTCCTGGGTCACAGCTGATTTCCTCAGACTTCCAAGGAAGTCAGCTGTGGCACATGAAAGCCCACATTTAATTATTTCAATGTTGTTAGTCTTTAAGGTGCCATGGACTTTTGTTTGACAGCATAAATCTTGGCTTCAAACTCTCCCACCATTCTCTTTTAAATTAGTCATGCTGGTATCAAGAAATCTCGAAAATGCACTCTGACAGGCCCGGGGCAGTGGCAGGTGCAGCTGGCCAGTGGAGAAGGCAGCTGAGTTTAGGAAGGCAGGATTGGCAGAAGGAGCTGTTTTGACAGGTGATACGATTATGAAGAAGGCTGTGCTTGCAAAACACAGTTTAATATTTGACCACAGGGAATCTCCAGTCATCAGACTAGGGCACCCGGGTCTCGAACTGCTGAACTACTGACCTTCCACGGCCTGCAGTTCAGCGTCTTAACCACTTGAGCCACCGCAACTCCTTTAAATGATGTAAAGTCCTGTTAATCAGGAAAATACAGGATATATACACAAATACAGTAGATAGACAGACAGACAAAATGACTACCCTGGAAACAATACTCTATTAAAAGAGGAAAACGAGGGGCAAAGTGACAACTTGGATGGGAGAATGACAAACTAAATGAGAGGGGTGCAGACTAGTAAAAAAAAAGTGTAACTTACAGATCTCCAGAGACTTTTAAGAACTTTTCCTTTTAATATAAATATGTCTCATTGGGCTGAGAAAATGGCGTCCAGGGCGAAACCTTCTTCAGGAACTACCACTTCAACGACTCCAGTCTCTAGACCGAAAGTAACCACAGACTTCCCTAAGATGATTGCTGCAGCACTGCGCCCTCTACTGGATCAGATGACTAACCTCAACAATAACTTTGAGGCTCTCCAAAAGGAACTGAAAGAAACTAATATAAAAACAGAGAAGACAGCAAAAAAAGCTGAAAAAGTTGATGATAAGACAAACACATTAAACCAAAGACTTGAGGCAGTGGAAAAAGAAAAGACCTCCGAGAAACTGTAACAATTACTACAATTGCAGATAGAAAAATCATCATATGTTTTGAGATTTCAAGGGATTCCGGGGGGAAAGGTGAAAACCTGAAAGAGATCTTAAGCGAAGCATTAGCACCAGTGGTAGATTGTAAAGCAGAACTATTAAAAAATGACATGGATATGGTATATCGTACCTACTCAGAATTTATTAAGAAAAACAAGCTGCCCGGTCAAGTGTTTGTGAAATTTTCTAAAAGATCAACGAGAGATATGATATTGAAAGCAACTAACGGGATAACCCTGAAAATCCAAGAAGAAGAAGTGAAAGTTTTAAAAGATGTGCCATTTGAGGTGAGAAAGAGGAGGAAGCAATATAGAAACCTGACTTTATTTTTACAGAAAAATTCCACTCCCTACAAATGGATTGTCCCAGAAGGACTTATCTTCAACTTTAAAGAGAAAAAAGACAAGATTGACTCTGTTGCCAAAGCAAAAGCATTTTTGGAACAGCACCAAAGTACAGCGACCATTGATCGGGAAGTTCTGACAGCTCAACGAGTAGCTCTTCAGAAGGAACTCAACTCTGAATTAGAATTAGGAGTAACCGCTCATAACCCACTCAAAGTTAAGTTAGCCTTTGATAAAAACAAACGTAGAGGAAAGAAAACCGGCAAATAACTGAACTCTGAATTTATGATCTCTCTGTCATTTTATATCAAAACTAAGACTTCGATTAACCATGCTTGTATTTGTTTGAGTTAGTATTATTAGTAGTTAACTTTTTTCCTTTAATGAAAAATTTACTTCATAAGGAAGCACCAAGAATCTGATGTATAACCGTTACATGATCCTTGCTAACTCTGTATTTTAGTTTAGAAGATTCCTTACCCCTATTTCCTGTAGTGTGTAGAGATAAAAGCAATTAAAAATGTTTTTAAAAACGAGGACTGTCTGTTTCAACTCTCTACTCAGGGCAGGAATCCCAGATCTTGAGCATTCCCAGTGGATGGCTGTTCAGCCTCTAGTTCAAAGGCCTCCAACAAGCGAGACTCCCAGTACTTTGGTTTTATTGTTGAACAACTCTCATCCACCAAAACTCACCCTCTGGTACCTTAAACCCATTCAGTCTAGTCTTGCCCACTAGAGAAACAGGGAATAAGTCGTTGGCTTCTTCCTTGGTACAGCTTGTGGAATATATCAAGAGGATGATTGAGTCTCTCTTCAAGGTTCTCCTTTCCAGTTCTGGTTATGCCATCCGCACCACACTTGCTGTTGTGATTGTCCTTTGTGTCTGCAAACAACAGATGGGGTTCTGTGCGCCTCAAAACCTGGGCTAATTATCTTTCTCTCCCACTCTGCTACCCCACTGATTTCCCTGTGCAGATGGGTGCTGTGTGAACACAGCGACTTCCGAGGCCGCCAGTGGTTGCTGGACTGCGTGGAGATCACCAACTGGCTGACATACAGTGGGCTTCAGCACATTGGATCCCTTTATCCCATCAGGCAGGTAGGTGTCCAGTTCCCTGGTCCACAGAGTTTGGGAAGGGAATATTCTGTATCTTCCTTGGTGGGGGAATTAACTGAAGCAATGTCATCGGGTATATCTCTATGTCCTATCAAGCTGATACTGTGCAGGAGGGCAGCTGTTGTTCTGAAAAGGTGACAGAGCTGATAGCTCTGGGGTGCCTTAGGACTGATTCCCACTTTTGATACACAGGTGGATGCATGGATTCTGCTTATGTTAAGGTCCTGTGGGATAGCCTGACTTGGTGACCTTGGGCCAGTGGCTCTCACAGAGTAGTTGTGAAGATAATACAGGGAAGGGAGAACAATGGACACTATTCTGAGTTCCTTGGAGGAAAGTCAGGATAAAATGCAATAGAGAAATAGATGCTTAGATACACAGCTAGCCCTGGCAGCGTGCACTGTGGAGAGGTTGCTCTGCTTAATAAGGTACTTGTAAGCAGGGGTCATTTCGTAGAAAAAGAGCTAGGGGAACTCATTAGCATAACTCATTAGCATATGCCACACCCCCTGACATCACCGGAAGTGTGTCATAAGGCCACACACCCCGCCCACAACGGTCCCGGCCATCGCTGCCGGCCTTGCGGCTCCACTGCCGAGCCCCATGAGGGGCCCGGCGGTGAACCTGCAAGGCCGGTGGGAGTGCAAGGAAGCCCCGCGAAGGCCCTCCCTGGCCCCAGGCAGGCAGGGGTGGGGAGAGGCAGGGAGGAAGCAACTTACCCTCCCTCTTCTCCTGCCTCCTCCTGGCTGAATGAGGGCCGGAAGCGGGGCGGCCGGAAGCAGGGGGCGGGGCTTCGTCATGTGCCCCGCTCCCCCGTACCTCACCCGGGGGAACTGTGTTCCCCCGCGTTCCCCCCCGAAATGACCTCTGCTTGTAAGACAAATAACTTGGGCAAGCACGTGAAAGATCCCTTTCTGTTCCTCCCATCACCACTTCTCACAGAGGCGGGTTTTCTTCCGAATGAAGAACACAGAGCTGAAGTCCTTCTTGTCTGTCCCGGATGATGTGGAAGACATGAAAGCAGGACGTGTGCTGGTCTCAGAGCTCAACGACCGGAACAGCTCTATTTGGTACTACGAGGAGGGACTTCTGAAGAACCAGGTGAGGGTTCCCCACTCCCTTTATATGGCTCACAGAAGACACAGAGACAGAACATGGGACAATCAACTGTGATGTAAGAAGAGGTCAGCCCATGGCCCATGAGCATACAGCTGCCCTGTAGTGGTCAGACTGTTGGACTGAGAAAACATGGATTCAAATCCCCACTTGGCCAAGTCACTCTGGTCTCTCCCCACCTAATAGGGTTGTTGTGAAAATGAAACAGAAGCAGGGAGAATCATGTAGGCTACCCGGAGCTCCTTGCAGAAGGGGTATGATAAAAATGTAATCAGTAATCTCAGATTGAAATGGGTTGGGTCTCTCTGACATCCACTTAGCACGCTGATAAACAAGGCAGAATGAATATCAAAATGAGTAACTAGGAGAATAACACTGAATTGATTGATGAGCTGTATAGATTAATCGGTATGTCTTCTGGTCTGGGTCTTATGTTTTGTGTTTTCTGTCTAAGGTTCTCTTGTTTGTTACTCATAGTCTTTCACTTTGACCTTGGTAAAGTCAATACTCTTCCTGTCATATGACATTGCATAGCTGTCACATGCTTGCAGTCAGTGGGTCTCATGCTGCTACCTGGGGGTTAAAGATGGATCTGGGAAGGCTGAAAACCACTGGGGTAGACTAATATTTGTGCACCTCTGTCATGTGTGGCATCATCTGAAGCAGATGCAAACCCTTCTGAGTCCCCCCAGGGAAGGGAAGGACCTTTCTCACATGTCTTGTTTTCCTCGCTCTTTCTTCCTGTTTAGATTGCTCCTGGCATGAGTCTGCAAGTGATTGGTCCAGGCAAGATAGGTACCAAGGTGGTATTATGGTCCGAGACCCGAATGCCCCGGCAGACATGGCGAATTGATTCTTTTGGGAGGATCTGCAGCCAGATGTTTGATAACATGATTGTAGATGTGAAAGGTAAGAGCTTGTTTTCCGGGGGATCCAAAGTTAAGTGTCAGGAGGGGTTTCCTGAGGACAAAGGAAAAGAGCCTGGTCAGCATGTGTCTCTACCATTGTTTCTGCTTGGGGGCAGTTCCCACATTTTGGTCTCATTGCTGCTGTGAATACAAAGGCACTTATGGTGGCAATCGAGCTTCTGCACAGGACAATCCCTGACCCTTCCAGGTCTGATCTGAATCCTTTCAGCACAATGTACCTTCTAAAGACAGATGAAGATCCGTCAGCTTTGGCCCTCAGAAGGGATGGAGAGGAGCTGAGTGCGAGAGAAACTGAGAGAAATATATTTCCCTTGTCACATTCTCTTTGCTTTCCACAGGCGGACAAGCTTATGACCGGGATCACGCCATCCTCTGGGATCCACTCGATGAAAGACCCACACAGATCTGGGATGTTCAGATGCTCTGAAGAAAGCAGAGACGGGAGGGCATGTGTCACACACAGAACTGGATTTTACTGGGGGTGATACAGATGCTTGTCCTTGCGTGACCAATGTTTATGAGCAAAATGGAGGTTTGTGTGGTTTGCAGCCTCAAATCAGCAAAGGCAATCCTTTCCCCACAGATCACAGCCCGGAAAGGCATGATGCTTCTATATGTGGACCCAGAAGGGACTTCTCTCTAGAGTTTCTTCATTCTTCCTTGGATGGGCCTGTGTTGGGGAAAAGAGGGGTTGTCCCCCCCCCCCCCGAACTAAGTTGTTCAAGGTGGAGAGCATTTGAGAGTTCCAAGATGTGAATTATTCATGGAAAGGCATGTGGCATCCGAGTAAGCCATAGGGAAGGAGCCAATGAATGGGAATAGTCTCTATGGCCCCAACCTGGATGGCTTAACTTTCTAAGGCAAAATCTGAAATGGATGCTCATTTGCACACAAATAAACTTGCTCTTGTCTCTCTTCTTTATAAAGGGATGGCTTCCCAGAACTCTATTTATGTACTTGTGTATAATAGGATGCCTTTTATAAAGCTGTTTTTCTGCCTCATTGTTTTATTGTGTTATTTACTACAAGAGCATACATGCATGTCATCAGTTACCAAAGGGCTGCTCTATGCCCAAAAAGTGTCAGTGTGGACCTGACCAGAGTGGCTTGGGTTCAAGTACCCACTCAGCTGAGATATGTCCTGAGGGACTTGGAAGAAGGGCAGGACCCCTCCTCTCTGTGCACCCCTCCTCTGCGCTTGGAGAAAACTGTCCTGTCCCTTTAATGGAGGCTTGATGTGTGGAAATAGGCAGTTGAAGCTTTTTATGACATGGAAGTAAATAAATGGACAGGACATTTTTTCTCCAGGCCTGTTGGCAATAGGAGCTCCAGCTCTGATGGCATAGGAGCCTACCAAAATCTGAATACATGAGAAATATATTCAGATTTCAGTAAGGTCCTATGTAGATGCTAACTAGCTGTATTCCCACATCATTGGATATTGTACAATCAAGGCAACATAGCGGTCATGCACAAGTGATACATTCAGGTGGGCCGCCGTGTTGGTCTGAAGCAACAGAACCAAGCTTGAGTCCAGTGGCACCTTTAAGACCAACAAAGCTTAATTCTGGGTCTAAGCTTTCGTGTGCACGCTTATACCTAGAATAAAACTTATTTGTCTTAAAGCCCTAAATGGTCAGGGACCAACATACCTGCAGGACCACTAGGGCTGCCAAATCCCCCCGGGGGGCGGAAACCCCCCCACCCCAGAGGCCCGTTCCCCGACGCTGGGGAATCGGGCCCCGGGGGGAACCCCGCCCCAGCGTGCACGTCACAGGAAAGTGACGTTATGACGCCAGGCACGCTGGGGGCGGGGCCACGGCCATACAAGGGAAAACCATAGAGTTTTCCCTTGTATGGTCGTGGCCCCGCCCCCAGCGTGCCCGGTGTCATTACGTCACTTCCCTGTGACGTGCATGCGGCGCGCACAGGAGTCCCCCGCCGGCAAGGTAGGTAACATTTGGCAACCCTAGGGACCATCTCTCCTGGTATGTCCCCTGGAGAGCATTACACCTAAGCGACCAACATGTACGGGAAGTCTCTGGCCCAAAGAGCCTCCAGCTGTCCTTTTCGGCCCTGGCTCCAACTTAGTGGAACTCTCTGTCTACTAACATCAGGGCCCTGCGGGATCTATTCCAATTCCGCAGGGCCTGCAAGGCAGAAATGTTCTGCCAAGCGTATGGTTGAGGACAGCGATGGTTTTTAATGGTTTTAATGGCTAACTATCTGCCTTGCAAACTCCTTCCACTCCCCTCCCCCCATTGTTAACTGTTAATTACAAATTGGCTGGCTAGAACTGTATTATGGCGCTATGTCAGGATTAAGCTTAATTAGATCTGTATTTTCGTCAGTTTATTTTGATTTATGTTTTTATAGTTGTGTTGTGAACTGCCCTCCCTGCTTGTGGGGAGTGCGGTATAAAAGTCAAATAAATAAATAAAAGGTGCCACTGAACTCATACTATGCACAACTCCGTTTTCTCCTGTATAGACCAAGACAGTCCATTTGCAGATCATTGCTGTAACACAATGACCAGCAATGTGTGGACGCAGCTTATAATATTTCCTAGTGTTGAGATCAGCCAGTATGTTTCCCTACTATTGATTGCTATGCTTCATCCCTGTGATAGATCTCAGGACCTTTGACCCTTCTTGCATAGTTGGGAAGACAGAGTTGATGGCTCTTACCCCTTTTGCTCAGCAGAGGCTGCTGTTTGTTTCAAAACAGCCCCACAGCACATGTTGTCTGCAGGCTGCTTCAGGTGGATGTTTTAAGAGATGGGGTGGCAGGAAGTAACTTACATTTCTCACCCATGCTCTTGGGGGCTGAGAGCAGAAGATGGGACTTACCACTTCCTTTCTTGCCAGTACACAGTACTGGCGTGTACTGGTTTACTTTCCCCCAGATGCCTATGCATGTTTATTTCCCAGCAGGGGCATTGCAAAGGCAAACCTTGCAGAGCCAGGGCCAGTTTGCTCCTGAATCCCTGTGGCAATTTGTGAAGTAAATAAAGAGATACATTTTCTTAACTTGTGTACAGAGTTTACTGTGAGTACATGATCATCATCATCATAACTTGTGCTGAAAGGGTTAATAGAGCCAACCATGTAGGATATATTTTCACTATATAGGAGAACTGGAGTCATTACTACTGGGCAATAAATTCTTACAGATTGGGCCAGGCCTTTTACTGAAGGCACGGAAGAAGCCTAGCCAGTTTGTGGATTTCTTTCAAACCATTTTAGTGGGCACTGACACACACATTGTTCTCTGTGTGGTTTCTCCATGAGCTTGGTACAAGTTGTTCGGTTTTCTGAGAGAATTAAAACCAAAGAGTCTGAGGTGAAAGAGTAGTTCCCTTCCGTATTACCAAATGGAGGAAGAAAGCACCAGTCTTCAATGTAACCTTCTGGCAGAAGGTTGGAGCCAGTGTGGTGAGTCATAAGAGCAGTGTTACTTACACTATGGCTCACAATACCCATAAACCAAAAGAGCCACATGCCTACTGTATGCCGAATGTAACTGTAAACTTTTAAATAACCAATGTCCCTCTGAGCATGAAGGTTGTCTATCCCCACCACAGATTAAATTTAGCCACACCTTGTGAATCCAGATTGAGAGGATGGGCCTGTAAACCACATTTAGGACACAAAACAGTGTGGAAGCTTTTCAGGTTAATCTGAAAACCACCCAGGTACCGGAATGAGAATGCAGAGGCTGCAGAGAAAGGTGGAAGATGCCTGGTATGAGGGAGGCTTGTGGCTTACCCACCGTCCAGTCCCTTCAGTGGGAGTTGTGTTAAAGTGGGAACCGTCTGCTAACCACAAACCCGCCTAGGGAATGGCCTTGCCCACTTTCGTGGAATACGGAACAGATGCCACCTTGGGGAACAATGCTAAGAAGAGCCTTAGGTGGCAAGTCAAACAGTGAGTCACTGTATATCATTAAATTAGAGTGTCAGACTATGATCTGGGACACCACGATTCAAATCTCCACTCAGCCACGGAAGCTCAATGGGTGCGCCCTTGGATCAGTCACACACTCTCAACTTAAAGTACTTCAAAGGGTTGTTGTGAGGGTAAAATGGAGGAGAGGAGAATGATGTAGGCTGCTTTGGTTCCCCATTGGAGACAATGGCAGGGAATAAATGAAGTAAAGTAAATAAGGAAATAAACTTGAACCAGGCCTCACTTTGATTCCTAGCTCCTCATATCCATGACAGGATTCAATTAAAAAAGCTATCAAATATGGATGTATTGAAGTCAGCCCCTTGTACAGGTTCTGCTTAGGAAGGAGGGATACTTTACTCAAGAAGAAGCCATAATCCAGATTAGAACAGTGTGCCACAAGCACAGAACGAGAAATAGAAATGTGTGCATAGTCAGTTGTACTGTACTCTGTTTAATGTGTGTGTGTGTGTGTAAAATGTTTTGATTAAAAGAAACCTACCATCCCCCAATTAATTTTCTAAATATTTCTGTTGTTTTCTGTTAAACATAATAAAATATTAAAAGAGACTTAACGATTAACTAGATAGCTTGGGCCCACCATTTAAAAGAACGAGGTAAGGTTCCCCCCATTTCACTCCTGGCCCCACTAGAATTCTAACCAGACTGCAGCTTCTAAGAGTAGGATTCTGGTGTAGGATTTCAGAGCAGGTGCAACAGAAAGACCACCTTCTCTGATTAAATTCTGCAGCATATGGAAATGGCCAGGCCATGTGTGTCAATGAGCAAGCGTCTGGGTTGAATTTTCCCCCCTCCAAATTTCTGGCCTTTTCTCAGACCTGCTATAAGAAGCTTGTGTTTAAATGCTGTTATTTCTGACAGGAATGTTTCCGAGTCTGACTTTTTTTTAAAAAACCCCAAGAGGGTAATTTTATTATTTTTTCATAAGACTACATAACTACAACAGAAAATAAAGGGAAGGACTACAACTAGGGATAAAGAAAAGATACCCACACTAACTAAAAACCCAAGAGTAGGAGATCGTATCCATGTTAAACTATATGTAAGTAATAAACATGTTAGTATAACAATATACTTGTAAGTTCTTTTTTACTACTGCTTCAATGTTAGTGAGTTAGTTATTTTGAGAACACTTCCTGAGCATCTTCTTTACTTCAAAGGGCCATTTCCAGAGTCCTTCTGCCCTACTTCGGTTTTCTCTCACTAAAATCATACACAGTTTTACTTGCTCCCGCTTCACCCACAGAGTCCCCATCCGTTCCAGAGGTGGCAGAGTCACTTGATTTTGTTTCTTAGTCTTTAAGTTTTTCACCTGACCCCATCTGCCATCTCAGGAATTCCTTTGCTTTAAAAGTGGAGTCAATCTTTTCTCTTTTATAGTTGATTTTAAAGATGACACATTCAGGGATCACCCACCGATGCTAAATTCCATTTGTTTGAAGAAATTAGATTAGGTCCTTGTAGCTCTTCCTCTTTTGACGAATTTCAAATGGGATTATCTTTTAAAGTCTTAACAATTATATTCCCAAATTTCAGAGGATTTGCCGAAGTGGCTTTTAATATAGCATCTCTAGTCTGTCTTCTTACAAATCTGACCACAGTCTCCCCAGGCAGGCTACTTTTTTAAATGTAATTGGAGTATGTGATCTGAAGAGAAACCAGAGTATAATTGGAGTATGCCCGATAGGCAGCCTCCATATCTTTGACTGTTTCATCCGCTGGTAAGCCTGTTAC